GTTTGGTTGGGGGGCGGGGGGAACGACGGAAGAGGAGAGTGTAAGTGTGCTGGTTTACTCTGTGCCAGGCTTATGGCTTTGCCAAGCAGACTCCGTTGTCCCTTCAGCATGGATTTCCACCTGAAATAATCTATCCTTTGTATAACGCTCGCTTTGCATTCAGATGATCTACTGGGCAAGGTAACGCAGGGCCATTCTAGGGAGAGAAGCCTCGGGTGGGTGTGCCGCCAATGCCTTCACCTCGGGCCTGGGGGAAAGACATTGTTTCGACGGTCCGAACCGAACCAAATGAATTTGATACGCCCCAAGGTTCAGGATTTGACGCATTTTGCGCGGAGCAAGACTTGGACTGGTGTTTATGTTTGTAGATAAATGTCAATTTGAATGAACACCACTGAAGTAAGATACATTGAGCACTATCCGTAGATTGTTTGATTGAACAGAGGCCATTGAGAAACGGTGAGCTGCAGGAGACTAATCCTCGTACAAGCTGTGGTCAAATTCAAGAGAGCGCTGGGCGGGAATGCTGTAACCGTTGGCGCGGAGGGCCATCCGAACATGAGCCGCAGAAAGTTGGACGCCCTCACCCGAAGAAACATTACGAGCAACCTTGACGATGTTTTTGATCTATGATGGTTATCTAGTTAGTGACTGCTTGCCAGGCATCTAAGAGGTTGCTTACCTGACGCCCGTCCAACGAAATTTCAGCGAATGTTCGTAGGTCTGTTTCTTCAATATCTGCTTTCGCACCCTTCAAGAAATGGTCGAAAATTTTCCGACGGGCCGGCCAATTAAGGTTGCCGTACCGCAATTTTAAGTGGACGCGATCGAGAACGGCTTCGTCAAATTCTTCGATCAAGTTGGTGGTGAGGAAGAAGATCCCGCCATAATACTCGAGTGTGCGAAGGAAGGTTGCGACGAGCCTATTTCGCTCTAGCTGCAGCCCATTGCGCCGTTGTAGATACACGTCGGCCTCATCCAACAAGAGGATTGCCTTCCAAGCCGCTGCCGCATCGAAGATGTCGCCCAGCTGGGATTCCAGCGTCTCCGCATCTGAGCTCAACTGTCCAGAGGATATCTGAAAGTGTTAGAAGACCTCCTTAGGCCGAGAAGAAACAAGACTCACCGAATAAAGTGGGCATTGGAGATCCTCAGCAATTGCTTCTGCTGTCAATGTTTTCCCCACCCCAGGTGGCCCGCTGTCACGTGTGTTAGCACCCGCCTAGTAATGTACTGGGAAGGAGGCTAGCTCACTGGAGAAGCATAATCACACCCTGCCCCTTTCCGGCGATTATGTCATCCTCGTTTGTCCTTTTCGCTTCCGTCACGCGGCTCTCGGCAAGGAATTTCACAACCCTTTTCTTATCTTCGGGGATCTCTAACATGTCAAAGAGCGAGGTTGAAAATTTAATTTCTTCGACGGTGTCTACTGCAAATTCCCCTGAAGGGGTTATTAGTATTTCATTCGATAAGCTCCAGACAGCGACTCACCCCAGAATTTCTTGTTCAAGCAAAAGCCAAGCACCGTTGGACTGCACCTTACTAAATCTTCTTCCTTCATCTTGTGCGGATCTATGCCGTTGCCCCTGATGCGGTCGAACGAAGTGCTTTCCAAAACACTGCCAAATATATCAAATATCAGGGGCCTTCTGGCTTCAAATCTCGGGTAATTTGGATTGCTCTTTCTAAAGCGCCCTGCGTCTATCATGACCCTGCTGTCCACGTACATTTTCAACAGGTCCTCCTTCACGGGGACGAACATTTGTCCTCGGTATTGGCGATGATGGCTCCCCCTGAGAGCGATAAACTTGCGACCATTCGATACCAGACGCGACCAGACATTCTGGTCAGCGTGCAGCTTCAAGGGATAGGCTGGAAGACTTTCGATGCGTCTCGCTCCCCGGAAGACTTCGATCTGAATAACCTCTTCACACTCGCCGAAAAGTACTCCGTCGTCGTCGAAGTACTGGCCGTGGATCTCAAAACAGTCCTGCTTCCGGTATGTTTTGGTTTCCACCCCGTAAGTGAACCGGATACACCTTGGCAAACCAGTGGAGGGGCATTCCAGGTATACCAATGTTCCTGGCTTGAACAGTGCCCATAGGAGATCGTATGTGATTTTTCGATGCGCGATGAGTGAAGAGAGTCGTTCTGCGGTTGGTTGATACACACTCTCAAGGTACTGTACCAGTAAGTTTAGATGGCAGACACCATCATGCTTGTGTCCTTCGTCAAACGTTGCATAGTCTCTCATCTCGGAGAGGAAATGATACAAGAGTCCTTGTTCGACCTAGTCTACGTGTCAGAATAGTCGGCCTTGAACAAAAACGAGGGAGAATACCGCTGGTTTGTCTGCCTCCAGACCAGCCATCCCAATGTTCTTCAATATGACCCTCAAAATATCTTGCAAAACAGGTGACTTAATGTCAATGAACGTGGTAGTTTCATGCGATCTCCTGTCTGGCGACACATCAGAGAATGTCGCATGAGCGGCTTCACAAAAACCCACCAACACGGTTCCGAACGACAAATATCCATTCGTCTAACTCACTCACATCGGGGGCGGGCACCCGGTCGACTATCGTATACCTGTATGCCCTTGGATCCCAGCTATCCCCTTGGTTAGTGGGTTCTCATCGTGCCGCATAGTTGAGCATACACCTCGTTGACGATCTTATACTCCAGCTTTGAAGCCCTGATCCACCTGATGTGCTTGCCATGTTCTCCGCCTGTGTCGGGGCCAGCTGGTCCGTTTACGGTGCCCGTGAATGACTCCAACTTCTCATCAAGCACAGCAAGGAGGAGTTCCTTCAACTGGTTCATTGTAACCGGCTGGGAAGAATGGAGGCGTGGACTGTTAGAGGGGTTCCTGGCTTGGCCATCGGCGGGCGGTTGACTAATGGCTGCGGCCGGAACTGGAACGGGCATAATCTCGGCAGGCTGATTGGCATAAGCACCTGGATCACGGGGGAGTGGAACGGTTGGACCAGTGCGGTTGGAAGATGAAGACTCTGGGGTGTTTGGAGGTGCGACTGCCTGACCTTTTGGCTCTGAGGATCCAGCCGCTGCCTGTGGAATGGCTTCAAGGAGTTGCTCCAACTGATTCGCATCGAGAGGGGACTCCAGACTCCCAGATGAGGTACAACTATCGCCCAACTTTGGTGGGCAGCTGCGAGCCGGCACGACTTGCAGATAAGGAGATGGAGGCGAAGTCGTTGCGTTTTCGGAAAATGCCATGTTGGGCAACTGATTGGTATGACGATGTTATAGTATATATCTGATCCTAACGATCCAAAGAAATAGAATGCCAATAGTCATCAAGGTCAGGAAGATCAAAGAGAGACAAGCCTCCTTATATGCCATCATCCAGTAGGTGGGAAGCCGAACACTTCGAGCTGTGTCTCTTCTAGTTCCAACACATCTGTCGACATATCGCGCAAGGGCGTCGAAAAATCTTAAAGTGTTACTATGAGAATATAGAACTTTTGTAGTTATACCAATGCTTACTGGCTGGGCCTTGGAATTGTATGTCTGCAGGATTCCCACGTACATTCCAGTGGATTCCCAATGAAAAACCAGAACCTGATTACCATATGCATCCAAAGACCTACTGGTTTTAATTTGAGAGTAGTAGCATGATAATTAGATTAATAAGCGATTATGCGCAGCTCATCTAAACGTGAATTGTCCAGTTCTGGCTGAGTCTTCGTTTCTCCGAAGCCGACCGGGGATATTGTCCGCCTTGCACTTTACTAGTAACGTTCGTCTACTGTCACGTGATGTAGAGGGGCAAACCAAGCCTATTGCTCCACGTCAAGATGCCCAAGTTAGGTGCAGTGTGTGAATGATGTGTTCCCCGACATGAATTTTTTCCCGGATGGGTGTGACGCCATATATTAAAAACATCAGGTATGGTTCCATCTCCCGTATCATTCAGTCCAGCCGAGAAAGGCACATCGCTCATCCCATACACACACAGTCTAGGCTTTGGATCATTCCGATTGTCCGTCCAGTAACTCCGTCGCTGAAGGATATTTGGGTTTACCTCCCTAGTTTGAACGAAAATCTTTAAGACATGCGCAAGATTAGAGCAAGTAGGTCTCTAAACGATGAAGAGATTATGAATCTATGCAAACGAGAGGCAGGCGTCTTCACGATATCCTGGAGGGGTTATTCTTAGCTAACTCCATGAACAGCTAGGCTACGAAGACTGCACCCTTGTTCCAGGCCCTACAACGGAAGTTGTATATAAAACCACGCCTCCTGCAAAAACCGTCGCCGTTGTCGTCGATATATCCTCCAATGGAGGTGCGATGAAGATAGGCGAGAAATCGGACAATGACTTGGGTGTTGCAGCTGTTGGCAAGGTCGGGACAGAGGATGCAGCGGATTTGGTTGTCGTGCCGTGGAGTGATGGATGGTGGTTCTATTCCATCGGTTCTATCGGGATAAGATACATAGTGAGGACATGAGCAGGTATTGTATGAATTTGATTTCACATGACGCGTCGGCGCTGATCACTAAAATAGAGAGCAACCTCATCCGATATGGGAATTGTTATGAATGACAGCGATGCATTATCGTAAGGGTCTGTCATCCAAACCGCTCCAGATATTTGATTTGACATGACAACTGCGCGGGCGTCTTCGTGCGTCAACGCAAAGACGCGCCCCGAAAGAGATCCTTTGGAAGTTAGAATGACACCGGCTCACCTAAGTAGAACAACTCACTGTGTTGTGCCTCTGGGGATGTGCCTCCATGAGTATCGGAGGTATTCTCTGTCCCACGCTGCACTTGCTTGGTAGTAGGAACATCCAAGACTGGAACTGATACTGCCAATTCGGAATCATCCGTCTCTACTCCGTTGATGTCTTCAGCATCGCTCGACTGTTGTAGGATGTTCGTTTGAGGACCTAACGGGCTTGTTAATGATCATTTTGCTTAGACTTCATAGATTACCCACCTGCGTATTCTTGAACCAACCCTTGAAAGAACGATGTCTTGAAATGCCTCTCATGCTTCTTAATTTCCGAGGGCAGGCGAAGACGATGATATTCTGTCATGCACCCGATAATTGTCTGCCTCAAGATGATACCACACGGAATCGCGACCACCATACCCGAGTCTTCCTTGACTTTCTTCAGGAAGGTCCGGTATTTCTCACGTCTTTTATCGGCCTTGGACACCTCGGGCTGCGGCAACTCCTCATGGATCAAACGAACAGCATTTTCGGCGCGTCTTATCTCATGGGGTTTAAGGCTCCCTCGCAACTCGATCGTTTCGAGATCTGTCAAAAGCTTTGAGATGGCCTCCTTGACCGTGAGGCCGGTATAGATGCTCTTGCGTTGAGGTGCATACATTTCCTCTTCAATTCTTCAGCCAAAACACAATTGGAATACTTGGCGGTAAACAGTTGATTATAGAAGTCGTGCACCTGAGGGGGGAATGTGGTTAATATGTGGGATTCCATTGGTAAAACAGTGGGTTTGCATTGGACAACTATCAGGTGGCCACAAAGAATCTACTGGATTCTCACTATGTTGGTCCATTCTTGATTGGCCTAATTCTTGCTTCATGCATGCGGTGGTTTTATCATTGGGCGATTACCAGGGTCTGTGCAGGGATCCCCAAAACCCCCTCACGAGGCTGACAAGTGGTCTTGTATGCTCTTTTGTTTGGCCTCAAGTTCGGTGCGAAGGCTTAAATAGGGCGGTCCTGGCATACGATTTTCAACATCTGACAATTTCGTCAAACAAGATCTCCCTTCAAATCATTTTTAACATCTGAAACTACTTTTACTTGAGCATTCACGGTCAACCAAGCTCTCAATATGGCTACATCCATATCCTTGCCCGTCGATTTTGAGAAGTGCTACAATTGCAACCAGAATAACCCAACTGGTGCACGGAAGTGCGAACACTGTCATGTGGATTTGACAGGAGGAAGATGATGATAAAACATCCGGAGACAGGTGCGATATGCCCTTCCTCCCACCAAAAAAGTTCATTATTAACATAACGTAGGACCTCCCTCCCCTCAGGAAACATCCTCGCCGCTTATCAAGCCAGGAATACGTTAGCTGGATTTGGTAGGATTGTTTAATTTGGACGCGGGCGGTGGTTGAGATTGTGTTGGACATTGCTAGAGAATCTGGGTAGGATCGAATATGATGGAATATCACAAAGGAGCATCACGAAGCTCGTCCAAATCAAAGAAAGTAAAAGCCAGAGACTTCTGCCACTCTACATCATTGCGGTGAAGCTTGAATCCCACGTCGGACAGCTTTGATTCGAGAAGATCGGTCCAATCGTAACGGGAATCGTCCGGCACGTCAAGATTAAATCCGCCACTCCGATACGGCTTAAGAGGGATCCAGAATTTCGGATAGTACCCAGCTGATTCCCAGTCTAAGATAGCCTCGATAGTACCGTCGTCTGAGAGTAGAATGTTGGTTGGGCCCAGGTCGGCATGATAGAAGTGAAATCTATCTCCTATAGGTGGTAGCGGCATAGTGGATATTCTGAGGAAATACTTCTCAGCATCGGTGCGAGAGAATGGTCCCAACGGCCGGGGTTTCCACGACGGGTGTGAGTCCTCTGGATCCACGGTTAAAAAAGGTTCGAGGACTCCGCAGCCTGTTGCAGACTGTAGCTTCTCCGAGGTTGCTTCAGCAAGGTCGCGGCAGTATTGTGCAACAGTGATAGCGACATCAGCTTTTTTCTCTAAAGTTAGAGTTGGCCAGGCACTCGCCAGCGTTTGCCCCTGGACCCGTCGCAAAATCAGGAAGGTCCTGCTGAGTTGCTCATCGACCCACGAATAAATTACCTCAGGTATTGGAATATGTGGGAACCGCGACGCAACAAAAGAAAGAGTATTGCTTTCTCTTTCCATTCCATCAGACCATGTCTTGACCTTACAAATCGCATGTGTCCCAATCTCCCAGACGGCGGATGACATGCCAGCCTGGTAAATGAGACCATCAGCTGCCTTCTCTAGCGAGTTGGCACTGGTAGCCTCGACAAGATAGTACTGTCCATCGTCCTCTGTCCATGTAGCAACTGCAGTTTTCGGAATCCCGTTTGTGGCCTTTTTGCATAGGAACTTTGAGCCCATCTGATATGTATCCGGGTCCAACTTTGAGACGGATACTTCAATTGGAGGGGAAGGCTTGCTATTTACTTCTGTTAGCGCAATGCCTCGCGACTAAACCATTGTATTCCTTACTGGAAAATCATCGTATTGTAGTCAACTGAAGCGTTGAAGTCGAGTTGGCCGAAAGGGAAGAAGAGAGGACGAAAAGTGAATATCCTAAAAAAGCGGTGTGTAGTGTACACGTCGTTATGTTTACTGGTCACCTGTTTTCCGCGATCATATCCAGAAGTAGGGACTCAGGTTTGGCCTGATTTGACAGCAATCCTGCGAATTGAATCGGAAGGGGCAAGCTCCCACCTAATCCCAAACTGTAACATTAACGGCCAGTAGCTACTGAACGACATTCCCACATTCCGAAAGGCTTTCAATCACGAACCACTGTTGGTCAGATTATGCACTACTCGCCTACAGCAGCATTCATAAAGCCTTCTTTATCATGTGTCTAATAATCCTGCACCCTCAGGGCCAAACGCTCTCGCGAGTCTCAGCAACCTGGTTCTCAGCGTTCTCTTCAGTCGCACACCAAGCCATTGATGCCATCACGGCCTTCCCGTGGTTGAAGAGATCAATAATTCCTTTAGAATTATAACAAATTCAAATTATCTTCGAACCATATTTGCTTATAGGCATAAAGTAAGCCACTTCGCCCTGAACGTATGGCTCGATAATCACTTGATTTTTCTTTAGCAATGAAAATGTTGGTATAGATGATGGATTTCCAATGGAAACCCATTGGAATTCCAGTGGGTTTCTGCTGTAACCCCACCGTAATTGCATATCTGGTTCTGACCAATCGCATAGCAACAACAGTTCTACCATGTATACAGAATGCTAGACAAGAGCGGCTTTTCTCCCACACTCATTCGAGGATCCTAGTGCCTTCGCTTCTCATTTCTCTTTGTGCAGGAGGAGTACGCCTCTCAGGAATGAAGCACAACAAATCCAAACCATGTGGAATAATTGACATATAAGGAGGCCATGTGCGCCCTTAGACCTCGACCCTTCTCTACCATGAGACTCATCAAAACATGTTGTCATGGTCTTCTCCAGCTGGTCAAGATCTTTTACTTTCCTGAAGCGACCAGCTGAGCTGTTTTCAAACGTGCTACAGTGCTTTCCTACGTCACCGACTTCACACCGCGAGTCAGATTGCTTTGGGGCTGACTTGGTTGATTATACGGAAGATCCCTTCGGTACACCTGGTTTCTCTGCGCAAGCTAAGCGAGAGCATACCATTATGGACGACCTGAAAGTATGTCTACAACTGAGTATTTTCTGGCAATTGCTAAAGATACAGGTTGTCCGAGTTTGGTTAACTGATCCCGAGTTATCTCCAGAGGCTGACGTCTGGCACCACAACTTAGACAATGTTGTCAAAGTCATAGTGCCTCTCCCATGCCAATATGGACATAAAAAGCTAGCAGACTTTGCTGTGGACAAGGAAGGTGTCGAAAGGGTTCTCAATCGCTACGAAGCCGTGAGATCTCTGCCGCTAGGCAGCAGAGACCGAATGGTCCTCGCTCAGAAGCCAAGAGACTTGACTCTCAAAAGAGTTGAGGCCTGCAAGCAGCTACGTGACGCCTACCGTGATCGTCTAGCGAAACAGGACTTCGATGACCAAGACCGCACCCGGCTTGGACGACAACTCGATGCCCAAGGCCGCACCTGGCTTGAACGACGACTCCAATCAATAGTCGAGGTACTAGATAACCTTCAAAACAGCGTCCAGGTATGTCCCTTCTCCTGCCCGTGCGCAGAGTACTAATATTGAAGACTGTGCGAATATGGTACCCCGTTTGCCAAGGACCCCTGACGCAAGATGCCAAAGACAAGGGCATAGGAGATATGATCCTAGCAGAGGTTCAGCTGGAAGATCCTAGCGACGGGTATGCTCCAATGTATCCAAGTCATCGCCCAGCTGGTGCTGTGTTAGTCGACTTGGCCGTTCTGCCGGAACACACTGCGACTGTTCGCTCCAAATATTTGCCAGTGAACTTTGCTCCCTTCAGCGACGATGATCCTTCGGTCTGCTCACAGCCAGGTGACGATATTGACCTGAAGAGAGCTCTAGCTTTCAGAAGAGTCCTTTTCAGATATGATCGAGCACAGAGAATCCGACAGTCCCGGGTCCAACTTCTTAGGATTGAGGATGAGCTTATCAGCAACTGGTTCAGTAAGTGCATGAGGGAGCTTGAAGACCGTGTTAAAGCAATCCATGGTTGTGAGGTAAAGTTGTGTTGACCTCTATTCAACAAATACTAATGATACAGACCATACGTGTATGGTGTCGCAGTCACCAAGAAGATCCCATGGCCAGTGTTCGATCCAAAGGCCTTCACGATGTGGTCAGAGCAGCAGTCCCTCTCCAAGATCCCGACTACCGACGGGTTGCCGATGACAAGACAGTCCATCCAGACGGCGCTATCCTTGTAGACCTAGCCATTCATAGGGAGGGTGTCCGCACGGTTCTCCGCAAGTACGGAGTTATCGACTTTGTTCCCATGAGCAATGAGGATCCTGTGGTTCTCTCGCAACCCGGTGAAACAATGGAAGACAAGCAGATTGCTGCTTACGAGAATATGTTGGAGAGGTATTCTCGTTATCTTCGTGAGACTCTCCTTGGCCCTATGGCCAAAGTCTGGGTTGCTGAAAGGCTGGCTGGAATTGAGAATCAACTGTCGGTCCTTCATCCGAATCGCCTAGAGGTGGGTAGTCTCCCTGTTTCTTATATATATGCTAACTCCGCAGACCATACGAATTCGCTGTCCGAAATACCAAAGCCACCCTTGGGAGATTATCCAAAAGCTACATCTCGGAGATGTTGTCAGAGAAGCCGTCCCTCTCGAAGTCCAGACGATCTTTCAAGAATCGGTTCAAGTCGACCTTGCCGTTGAGCCCAGCGGTATCTCAAGGGTTCGCCGCCTCTGTGAGCTAGTCGAATTCCAGAGGTTGAGTGAAGACGACCCAATAATCCAAATGCAAACGGATGGCGACCCTCGCATGAGAAAATTTAACGGATACAATCAGGTTCTTCGGCGATATACAGAGGCTCGTGCAGTGCGGCAGCTTGACGGGGCTTTGACGCTTTGGTATGAGAAAGAAATTATGGATCTTGAGAGTCACATCGGAAGACTTGGGTATGTCTAGTTTCTAAGGGGTCATGACATTGTATAGATCTAGCTTAGGATGCCATGGGGATTGCGCTAATTTGAGCTTCGTTGGAGATATATCCCCCTGGTCTCCGTGAGCCGTGCGTAAGTTCAGTTAGTCGGCGTCTGTACAAATCAGAGATACGCGGGCGGGTGCGCATGGCGGCATGAGGCGCAAATTGGCCGCCGAGGAGGGAAAGTCTGGATGTACATCATGAGGACTCCGTTCGCAGGCGATGTGTGACTTTCCGCCCACCCACACCGTTTTGCTGTGAGTGCGTCACTCTGTAACCAACACTATTGCCATTCTTCTTCTAAATACACGAATTATCAACGCATTGGCTCTTTATCCATGAGAAAAGATCCCCATTCTCTTTTGCTACCCTTTCTGCTTTGACCGTGCCCAGTTCGGCTGCATACCCACGGTTGGTGGCTTGCAACCGTATCTTTTCCCATCTTCCCCTACGAATCGTCTCTCTTTAGCCATATCTTCTTTAACCCCTTTAGTCGGAATTGATCGGTTCGCGTCGGGTATGGTTAATATACCAGTGTGACTGAGACCCTTGAGCTGTCGCTTGGTCTTAAAATTGCCGTATAGGCTTTTGCGTGTCCTAGTCCGCTTGAGTCCTTGACTGTATCGTTGGTACTAGGTATGGTCCTACCTGGCTTTGACGAAAGTTAATTGGCCACAACTAGAGCAATGCTCATGTTGGAATCGCCGAAACGCCCTCGTCTAACCGGATTTGGGGAGACAATAAGATATAAACACCTGGTCCTAGTCCTCATTTCCCATCCATTTCTCTCCATCACCCTACTGTGGTGAATTGATCTCGATTTCTCTAAAAGCATAAATTCCCTAAAGAACCTGATTGTCAATGACAATGAAGGAAATCCATCATGGTCGGCATTCTTAATTGACTTAGACCTTGCCATTAAGGAGGAATAAGAGGGACCCTCTGGCGTGAGGGGTAAAACAGGGATGAGAGCGTTCATGGCTGTAGGCCTGCTCTTGGGCAAGAAGCATTCATTCATGCACGATTTAGAGTCTTTCTTCTGGGTGCTCTTCTGGATATGCATTCATTATGAAGCACCAGATAAGGACAGTAGAGTTGTGTCTGAGTTCGAGAAATGGAACTATGTCACAGTGAAAGAGTTGGTTAACCTAAAAAAGGGAATCGTGGCAGATGGAGACTTCCTCGAGCTTTACGTCAATACTATGAGCTACTTATTCCTTGGGTTAATAAATTGCGGAAAGTTGTTTTCCCGAACGGCGGCCGATGGAAGAAGGAAGACAAGGCTCTGTATAGGAAGATGACGGATATCTTTGGGGAAGCACAGATTAACCTGGATGCTTCGACGCAATGGTAGTAGCTGGCGAAATAGGGGCCCGCAGCGACGCGATGCCCATTGACTTATACCCAGATCTACATATGATACCTCCGCTGCGGTGCGCTTGGCAAATATTATCTACTAATAGGAGGGAGGGCGTAAGGCAGCTAGGTGAAAATGAAGTTAAGGAACCTTGTGTCACATCTTCTCTGGCCTTGTTTGATTCAGAAAAGGCGGTGTGATGGTGGAGGCTACCCTTCCGCTTCAAACATTATATATCATCACACCCTTGCTGCTGAGCGTACATACTCATTGACAGATACCTCAAACTCATTATATTACTCGTTTTACTTCTCATTCGATATGAGCCCCACCGACCCTTGTGCAGCATGTAGCTGGACCGCTGAACGTCAAAAGTATTGCAACTACAAAAGCTATGTCAAGCTCTTCTATGAAGCAGGCGACCGAGGCGTCTGGTCGTTGGGCTCAAACTTGATTCTGAAAGATCGAGGTGCCAGTCTTCCGACCTTTGAAGTACCAAACATTCAGTTTGTGGAGGAAGAGACATCTATTCCTGTACCCACTATTATTGAGTCTTGGGAGGAAGACGAACACACTCTTATCTTAATGAAGCGTATTGCTGGCGAACCCCTCAGCAAAGCCTGGCCGAACCTCTCCATGAATGAAAAAGAGAATATAGCAAGGCAGACCGCGGAGTATCTGCTGCAACTTCGCAATCTCCGGTCTGATACTATGCAAGCCCTTGGTGGCCGTCCAATCTATTCGAATTTCCTCTTTCTTGCTAAAGATTCTGAGCTTCCCCACGGTCCTCTGGCATCTGATGACGAACTCTGGGCGGAGATGGAGTGTGGTCTGCAAGAGACTGTGCCTGAGGCTGCACGCATACGACTCCGAAGTCGTATGCCACCCGCTGCGCCTTATACCTTTACACACGGTGACCTCACTAATGTTAATATCATGGTCGAGAATGGCTCTCTTACTGGCATCATCGACTGGGAAATGGCTGGATATTACCCAGTATGGTGGGAGTATGTCGGTACTTCGGTCCCCGACAGTGAGGAAGATAGGGAGTGGAAGACGCTATTACGAAAATATATGCCTGACTATAGTGCAGCGCGTGAATTCTGGCTGGATTATTATTATCTCTGCAGGAATCCAAAACATGAAAGAGCGACGAGATTTATCGAGGAGGCAAACAATGAGAGCCTGTAGAGGCTGTGACGTCTCTACCTTTCCAGCTAATTCAATCAATGGAAATACTTCTATGATCATTCTATATCAATAATCTCGCTTATTACCTTGACATATGGAATGGGTGCACTGTAGTCTTTCACGGCAATTTGCACTACTTTGGCTCTTTACAGGCGATCATATAGAGTACCGCTTGAGAGAGATGATGAGGAGTCGAAAAAGAAACTATTTACGATCTGACTGGCAATACTATTGCATCGAAGGCAGAAAAGTTATGGCTTCGACTGCTATGATATACTGGCCTTGCTTTCGAGCGTCCCCTGAGTTATCAAGAAATAGCGCTCAATGTTGTTAATGGCCTATTTATATGCACATTTACAATTCCAGCAAGCTGAGGGAAAGCGATATAGAGCAAAGAGTGAGCTCATATATTCAGAGTAGAGACAGAAGCAGGTTATAAGCCATCAACACAACAGTCCACAACACTTGAATATTCCTCAATGTATCTGACACGCAAAACATAGTGCTTCGAAAGATCAATCACGCCGTCGAGAATTCCTACTGACGCAACTGCAGGTTATCCGCATGGCTGACGGTGTATGGTATTCCCTGCACTGATAAGCTGAGATTGGGCATGTGTTTACAGGGAAGCATACCAGGAAGCTCAGGCCAAGGGAACGGCACACTTGAACTTAGGCCCCTTTCATGGCTTTCGGAATTTCGGCGCCACAAGATTCGCATACTTCTTTCCATGTAGGGTTGTTGTGCTGGCACTTGGGACACTTCATGATTGAAGATTACCAGGGGAGGGAAAAAGACTTTTAGCTTGAGCGAGGAAGACCGAGTTGTAGGATAATTGATCAATGCAGGATAGTTAATCAATCGTCTTGCCTGGCGAAAAGGCTGTATTTATAGTCCACAGCGCAGACCTGTTCATGTACATGCCCACTGTTTCAATATCAGACAAGACGCTTCTTTGGCGAGAGGAAAGATGTCTCCAGACACTCCCGGATTCAATATAGAATTAGCTGCCTTTATTTATCGGCCAATGATGCCCGTTGATCTTGTGTATTCTCGATGATAATGGGCCAGACCCCTAGGGTGCATTGACAGCCTGCTTATGGTGTTGTATGCAGGGGGTGTCACACCCAATCCCAATACTCCCCTTCTTTTTCTATTACTCCTCTTCTCTCCCTACACTAGGGCGGGAGCTATCATTCCCAGTCTGGGTGGAGCGTTCGAAGGATGCATGGTCCTCACGTGATCTGGAGTATCGTAATTCCACCGTCAACTCTTATTGGCCCATAGCATTTGGTCTGGCGGTCGGACCCCCTTCAAGAATACTTAACGAGGCTACGCCATCCAGTCGGACAATGCTCGACAAAATTTCGTCGAAATTTCATCGAATATTTACCGAAATAGTGTCGAAGTCTTAGCTTGTGTGCTGCATTCTTACATCTCATTCTCCTGCAACACTGCACATCACTATCAATATCAGAACAAATGGCTCCTTTGTCTGTTGAAAGTGCCATGACTAAGTTACTTCATACATCAAGGACGATTCAACGCCGCAATGGAGTGAGACCTCCGGAAGCAAAGCGAATCAAGCATGCTGCATCCTTACTCCGGGAGGGCTCTCCTCCCCCGGATGCTGTAGGAGCAGGGCGGCAAACAACTTATCTTCATTTCCTCCAAAAGTTGAGCGGCAACTCAATGGTGGTTCTCTGTGCAGTTGGGCTTGGGCTGTCGGCGATTGCGATTGCGCGGGAGGACGTCCTTCTGGATTTGCCGCATGAGATCAATAGTACTATTGCCGCTCTCGATAACCCTGTGCTTCGCCGGCTGGCGAACGAGTATATGGGTGTCGCTGAACGAACGCCCCCGGTTCGTTCTACTTCCGATTTGGAAAACAGTCCAGCAGCTGGTCCATTAACTGCATCACATCACGGGCCGTCCCAGAATATTGACCAAGATAAGGTAGAACGGACAATAGAGCAGCGCTCATGTATGTCAAGCTGAGACACGACCATTCGAAACGGCCAACTGATCTATACAGCTTCAAAAACAAATACGGGCGGGCCAAAGCAGGGAATAGGTGAGGAAGATACTGAAGTTGGCTAGCAGTGGCTGATTGATCCGTCACAGGCCTAATTGGAGACGTGTACGAACTCTCATTAAAAGATGTACAGCAGATCATTGAATCCCATCAAATTTCGGGAAGCATACTGCTTACTGATACATACGGCGTCAACACGACGCCTTTCGTCACTATCCCGATCACAAATGAATTGACAGATAGGTTAATCTCAAATCGACCCCGAGTGTCGTGGAACGAGCCTTGACCTAATTAACGTTCCTCGTTCTGATATAACCGACATCCACTACGCCGGATGCTCTAAATCTCCAGTCGTCTCGCCAAGGGATAAGAATTCGATATCCTTCTTCCTCTGTCCCGACTCCGCCAAGGTAATCGCCACTCTCTTTTGCAAATATACGTATTGCGCCGCGATTACGAACCACGTCGACGACGACCGCTATTGTTCGTTCGGGGGGACTAAGCGGGGAGCCTTTGGGCGGAATCGACCATTCGATAGGTTCGCAGTCACTGCAATGTATCTGGGATAGGATAGTCAGCTACTTGGCTTCCCCCCGACACGGATATTGGACCTTTTTCTTGCATTCCTCCACGATCTCTTCATCTGTTGCAGATTCCACACGAATCTTCTCGACTGTTTTGGACATCGTTACCGAGGAAAGTTTGGCCTTGATAGTGGGCGAACACGGACTCCCAGGAGAATGCTGATTTACCATGTGGATTTCAGCCCGCCGTTCAACTGCTATCTATGGAGATTAATTCTTGATATAGTGAATCTTTCAGTGGAAATTCTGCGAATTAGCGATATCGACGAGAAGACAACTCAGAACTCAGTACAATTGCCAACACTGATAGATCCTCCTTACATGGTCATAAATTATCCAGTGAAAGCCGTATATCCTAGCTGTCGAGCTCAAGCAACAGCTGTGGCTGGTAGGGAACACCTATCGTCGCGGGCATGTAGTGTGGCCTCAAACAGCCCACTGTGTGGTATTGCTTTGTTGGAACGTATTGCCCCGCCCGAAGGATGGAGGGGCAAAAATATTCACGTGATGACACCCAGGAACTAGCGCCCATCGATTAGGCACGAACTTCGAGAACGGCGTCCGTGTTACGGTAGAAACGCCTCAGGCATCTCAATTCGCATACTACAGGAAATTAGAATTGTGATTATGTCAAGAAAAATAAGACAAGAAATGAGCATTCTGTCACTAATGCTTCGAGATTCAAGTTAGCCGAATAGTTGTTGAAATCTCGTCGCGAATTTGTCGAAAACTTGTCGAAAACTTGTCGAAATTTCATCGAAATTATCGGCGCCGACTCCCAGGCCAGAACAGTGGAGGACGGCTCTTGATGTAAAACCCAAATTGTCTATTGGCAGATTACCAAGATCAGCAACCATGCGTTATACAGAGTACTTTGGTTTTACTGCGATGAAATAAGCGACTCCTGAACATGCTTCTACCCGACACGATCATCCCCTTCATCCACGGAGGTCGAGACCAGATCTCTCAGGATTTCTCCCCTGCTCTCTCCCCAGCTTTGATCACTGAAATGAGCAATGAGAAGCGCTCCAGGAGCACAGCGTGGTCTATAAAGGCGCCAGCCTTGTCCCAGATACTCACCGCAATTCGGCACAGACCAACTCAGACTTTCATTGACCCTTCCTCATTTCTAGAGCGCTGCATGATTACTTCAGCATGGCTTGGTATAGAGCCTTACTCGCTTGCATGCGGAAGCTCCTGGGGCGTAACAGCACCAATAAGGACGGACGGAGTGAAGACGACCAGGCTCCATTGATTGATAAGACGCCTATTTTCGAAGAAATGACAATTGTGAGTACTGTTTGTGAGGTTGCTTCCAGCTGTCTAATGCCTTCCTCGGGCAGACCACCTCTGCAAAGTACGTCAACGGTGAGAATGTCATGGCACATATCGTCGTGGAGACCAAGCGCAGTGATGACCGAGGACACACCTGCGTCAGTAACTGTGATTCGAACACCACTGCGGAAACCAGACATTCTGGGCTTAGCTCTATCAGTCTTTCAGATCAAAGTACAATTGTCGAGGATGCGAAGGCCCCGGGAGAACCTGAACTCTTTGCTGTATACGTTGACGACTCAACCGGCGAGCGGATGGTTAGACTCTACTACGAGCTCTCACTAAGCCTCGATGACCTTGAGATCAGAGGCCTTGAATCTCGTATCCCAGAGTCTGACGATGATCCGATTGAGGCCCACGGTCACTATCGAGGAGAGAATTTTTGGATATCTGTTCCTTATCCGTATGCCAAGGCTCGAATGGTTTCAAGGGGTGTATACTGAATGGTCTGACTTCTTCATTGCTGTTATTTTCTTTTTCTGGCTGCTGGCCGCTTAACATGAGCATAAGAAATAGATAGTTCTATCTCCATAACAGAGTATGTCACAAACTGCTTTTCATCCTTGGCAAGAACATAAATAGTGTCAATCCACTGAGAAAACAAGGCATGAAATCAACTTCATTTAAGCAATGGTTCCCTTCATATACGTCATTCTATGTATATGGATGGGAACTTTTCTCATCTTACTTGCCTTGAATGCCCGATTTAAGAAGCAGCGCATTAATGATCCTGAGTCTTCTGCTGCCTTCACTGATCATCCCCATCAAGAGTAACATGGATTCTGTATGTCCCTTCTGGGCATTGATTATGGTCCCCAGTTACTAATATATTAGATGGAAACTAGGAAGCGGCAAAATACGGGGCCAGGAAGGGAAGGACTCATTCCAAGAAAGAAAGGAAAAAGAAGAACATGAGAGTGTAAGGGATAGCAATCCTCATTGGCGTCCACTAGCTGATGGGTTACAGCAAGAAACAGGCGTTCATAAGCCCCAAGACAACAACCCTGCTGTCGAGAGGCCGCCATTAATTTACAGAAGAGCTGGAGAAGCGCTGAAACACGGTTGGGACAAGAAATCACCCACTTTACGCCTTAGACGGTCCTGCTGTAGCTGCAGGCAGGAAGTGCCGGTAGGCCTAGTCTGTTGTATTTGTCACCATGAGTCTTGTCCTGAGTGCTTGTACATGCAAGAGTGAGATTACGAATGTTGATCAGATACACGGGCCTCTATACTAGGACTAGTTACCACTAGAATAGTACTCAACCTTAACGGTGGCGTTTGGTACTTTGTTATAGCTAAGGGGAGAGGACAGTTGATAGTTTCAAGTCAGAGAGAGGCTCATCCAACTACTGTTGCCGGGAGGGAAGATACTCTATTCTTAGCTAAGGGCTACAGGAAATCGCGTCCATGCAATAATACCATCCATGGCATCTATATCGCATTAGATGCAGGAAGTAGGATAGAGAACTCATATCGTACTTGATTCGCACTAGCAGGGCAGAGAGAGATGCGGAGCCCCTGCATGACTTCCCTGGTCTGCAGCTTGTCGTGCGTGTATCATTCTCATGCGCCACAATGATAGGTAATGGTAGTCCAGCCTTTGCCTCTAACCTGTCCCAAAAAATATGATTGGAGGGTAGTATAGACGCTCTCATTTGTCCCAACAAGAATTAATATCTGTGGTTTGCAGCAGCCTGACAAGGGTAGGGGGTATAAAAAGCAGAAAAAAGGCGCACAGCACAATTGATACTAGACTTCGTCCCTGGCTTTACCAAACAACTAGGGCATATATTGCCATTCTTCCTATTTTCTTCTGATTCCATCTACAGAAGCATTCATCTTCAAAATCCATACTCTCTTGTACTTCTCATCTGACACTCTTTCATCAAATTCTTATAAAAGTTCCCTCATAGAACACCAGAGACAATTCGCGACATGGCCACCAACAACTCTTCCACTCAGGTCCAAGGATCCACTAAAAGGTCTTCCCATGAAAATCCCTTCACTAAATTAGAGAATATGGTAAGAAGGCTTCCAACTCCTGACTACACATCTGATCAATATCAGCTAATGGATGTTGCGATCCTCATTATGTCCAGATTCACTATGCTATTGTCTTCCAGGACAAGGACGGTGCGGTTAAGGCCACCGGGTCTGACTTAGTTAAAGGCACTCATTCCTGGTTCATCCAAGATTTGTGCGAAAGATTCCAGGATATTCTACCAGCCAAACGCTGCAGGGCCTCAGTCGATGATTCAGACAAGCAAAAGGCCGCTGTTGACGTCTTACCTGAATGCAGTAATACTCAGCAGGTAACAGATTACTACTGGCAGACCTTTAGCAGCATCCTCCAAGGCGATATCCGCAGGATTGGTCAAGCTTGGATTGGACTTATTGAACCCAACAAACCAAACATACATCCCTATAACAGAGGTGCGAATGCAAAGCCAAAGTGGTGGCCTGATGGTGTCCGACATGAATCACCGCATCATCTTCACACTAACGGTGGGTCACTAATATTTATCTGCTAGCTAACCCAGCTAATTTTCAATAGAGCGGGTCCCTCTCTTGATCCATATTCTCCGCATGTCTGGGAAAGGAAAAATTACATGCGTTGAGTTGCAGGAGGCCGCAGTGCAGAAAACCGCAGTTTCCAAGACCCAAGCAAGGACACTAAAGATCCTAAACGAGATCATTGCAATGCGAAAGAACGAAGAGAAAGGAGAAACGCGATGCGACAATGGTGTGTACTAAGCCTAAGGATCCCTATGGATGTACTAATTCTTCCAGATAGCATTACAGCTACCGGGGCCCAAGACGAAAAGCTAAATTGCGGGCTCATCCAAGTTTCCAGGTTAGCGAGCGATGAAGGACGAGGGGTATCTTCAGTGGGAAGCCCAAAAGGCCAAATCGAAGAGATCTTTCCGAGTAGTCCTTCTGGAAAATACTCGCCGGGCTTTCCCAGCTCCTATCCTTCCACATCTGAAGCACCAGCCAACCCAATGTACTATCATGGAAGCCCAGAAGACCAAATCGAAGAGATCTCTCCGACTAGTCCTTCCGGAAAATCCTCGCCGGGCTTTACACCCAGCTCCTATCCTTCCACATCTGAAACACCAGCCAACCTAATGTACTATCGCGGAAGCCAGTATCAAACGCCATATCCGGTGTCTCAATCTATCAACTTCAGAGCCAGGTAAGACTGCTCCTTCTCGCCCTTAAAGTCATTATGCTGATTATCTTCCACCTTGTAGCATCACAAACGCTCCTCCAACCAGAGCCCACACAAACAAACAGCAACAAGTTCTGGGCCATCAATCATGGCCATACCTTAACAATCCATCTTCTGAACACACAATGAACTGTCAGCAATCAACACAACCTATACAATTAGCATACCACTCCTGCCGCTTCTGCCACTGCATGGCTCAACATAACAGCTTTAACCCGGTCAATTCTACGCTTCCGTCAAACCCAGCATCTTATATACATACCACTTCTTACAGCCTTCCTCACCAATCATGGCCAAACGAGAACAATTATGACAATAATAACTGGAACTTCTTTTCGGAGTGTTGGAATCATCAGCCCCTCCCACAAAATGACCCTGGCTTCACATAGCGCGTCAAAGTCGTAGTGCCTCTCCCATGCCAGAATGGATACAAAAAGCTAGCAGACCTTGCTGTGGACAAGGATGGTGTTGAAAGAGTTCGCAGTCGATACGAAACTGTGAGGTCTCTGCCGCTAGGCAGCAGAGACCCAATGGTCCTCGCTCAGAAGCCAAGAGACTTAACTCTCAAAAGAGTCGAGGCCTGCAAGCAGCTACATGACGCCTACCGTGACCGTCTAGCGGAAAACGACTTCGATGACCAAGGCCGAACCTGGCTTGAACGACGACTCCAATCAATAGTCAGGGAACTAGATAACCTTCAAAACAGCGTCCAGGTATGTCACTTCTCCTGGCCATGCGCAGAGTACTAATATTAAAGACCGTGCGAATATGGTACCCCATTTGCCAGGGACTCCTGGCGCAAGATGCCAAAGACAAGGGCATAGGAGATATGATCCTAGCAGAGGTTCAGCTGGAAGATCCTAGCAACGGGTATGCTCCAGCGTATCTAAGTCATCGCCCAGCTGGTGCTGTGTTAGTCGACTTGGCCGTTCTGCCGGAACACACTGCGACTGTTCGCTCCAAATATTTGCCAGTGAATTTTTCTCCCTTCAGCGGCGACGATCCTTTGGTCTGCTCACAGCCAGGTGACGATATTGACCTGAAGAGAGCTCTAGCTTTCAGAAGAGTCCTTTCAAGATATGATAAAGCACAGAGAATCCGACAGTCTCGGGGTCAAATACCGGGATCTGAGAATGAGCTTATCAGTAACTGGTTCAGTAAGTGCATGAGGGAGCTTGAAGACCGCGTTAAAGCAATCCATGGTTGTGAGGTAAAGTTGTGTTGACCTCTATTCAACAAATACTAATGATACAGACCATACGTGTATGGTGTCGCAGTCACCAAGAAGATCCCATGGCCAGTGTTCGATCCAAAGGCCTTCACGATGTGGTCAGAGCAGCAGTCCCTCTCCAAGATCCCGACTACCGACAGGTTCCGATGACAAGACAGTCCATCCAGACGGCGCTATCCTTGTAGACCTAGCTGTTCATAAGGAGGGTGTCCGCAGGGTTCTCCGCAAGTACGGAGTTATCGACTTTGTTCCCATGAGCAATGAGGATCCTGTGGTTCTCTCACAACCCGGTGATATAATGGAAGACAAGCAGATTGCTGCTTATGAGGATATGTTGGAGAGGTATTCTCATTATCTTCGTCAAAATTGCCGTCTCCTTAGCCCTATGGCCATAGTCTGGGTTGCTGAGAGGCTAGCTGGAATGGAGAATCAACTGTCGGTCCTTCGTCCGAATTGTCTAGAGGTGGGAAGTCTCGCCTGTTCCCTATTACGTATGCTAATACTCCAGACCATACGAATTCACTGTCCGAAATACGAAAGCCACCCTTGGGAGATTATCAAAAAGCTAGATCTTGGAGATGTTGTCAGGGAAGCAGTCCCTCTGGAAAACCAAATAAGCCCTCAAGAATCTGTCCAAGTCGACCTTGCCGTTGAGCCCAGCGGTATCTCAAGGGTTCGCGACCTCTGCTCAGGTAGTCGAATACCAGAGATTGAGTGAAGACGACTCAATAATCCAGATGCAACCGAATGGCGGCCCTCACATGAAAAAAATCAACGGATACAATTACGTTCTTCGGCGATATACGAAGGCTCGTGCATTGCGGCAGATTGACGGGGCTTTGATGCTTTGGTATGAGAAAGAAATTATGGATCTTGAGAGTCGCATCGGGAGACTTGGGCATGTCTAGTTTCTAGGGGGTTCAGACATAGTATCTAGCTTAGTATGCCATGGGAATTGCGCTAATTTGAGCTTCGTTGGAGATATGTCATCCTTGGCCTCGGTGAGCCGTGTTTAAGTTCAGTTAGTTCGTGTTTGTATGTCCCTGTCAGCGGCCTCCTCCAGGAGGTCTGCGTGTCAATCGTAGCCATTAACTAGCTTCTGACTCATTTTCCAGTCCTTGATTTTCCTAGAGATATATGTATACGCTTCCGCTGCCATATCTTCTGGCTGTACAACTCCATTGGGCTTTTACTGTCCGCCAGGAAACAGCGACGCTCCTCCTCCAGTCGAGCATCTACAGATAAGTCTTCAGCACGACCACATGAGCGCCCGCATTACAGGGAGAGGAGCTAGGTGAGATGAGGCGGCGGGAGAACTCCGTCCACTAGGTCGTCAAATTTGTTACTCGTTTGCCTGGGAAGTCAGCCTTGCTCAGCCACGCGGGACCGTTTTGAGGCAGGACAGGGTTGTTATAAGTACTCGTCAGATAATCCCTTCAGCTTCTCTTTATCTCTGGTAGACTTTACACTTCTTCTGTTTATGAAAATCCATGGTGAGCTATTGAACATTCCCTGCCTTACACTTAGCTAAATTATTCTCCTCCATTAGTCTACGTCAGATTTATCCTGGCCTCGGTGAAGATCTGAGCGGCCCGACCACTATAGAGTACGAACACGAAATATTGTTTCCCAACCACGGTCGCTGAATCTACCCAGTATTATCGCTGTTCACGGACTCGATTTTGTCGATGCAAGCGGGAGGTGCTCAGCACCTTCTTGGCGCGAGCCGTTGGAGGAGCCCGGACAATTTTGGGTAGTAGCATTTATTCAGGCGCATGGCTTGAGAGCGCGACTGCTGTTATACGAGTTTGACTCAGTTGTCACTTTCGGTACTGGTCCAGAGAGTATTTCGAAAGAGGCCGATGGCCTTCTACACCAGATTAGAACTATCCGATCAACCACAGCAATTGACAGCTTCTGAACTTCTTCCAAAGGCTCCAAAACTAATGAGTACGGGATCCGCACACACCAATCATATTTTTGTGCCATGGCTTAGGGTGTATCCTCGTGAAACAAGTACGTGAGATGGAAATAAGAAGACTGAAACTAACAACTTCAATAGGCGTTGGTGAACGCGTCTCGAAACGATCATTGGCATGGAATCAAAACTGTCACGTAAGTCACTATAGGAAAATGTAAGTGTTGAGAACTGATTGCGCAAGACGGGGACTCGTTTTCTTTGGGACACCCCATCGAGTGCCACCCCAGAGCTCGCCTGGTATTATTGAAAAGGCATTCTCTTTTGTTTCAGTCGGCAAACCGATACAATCGCCTTATGACTTGGAGCTTCTGACAGTCCAAGGATTTCGCGATCAAATTGAGGATTACCACTTCATTTCTTTCTACGGTGACTCAGATGAGGTGTGTGTTGCCCTTCAGCTGAGGTTTTAAGAGGTTGCCGGCTGATATACTTAGTCAAGAGAGCGACGCGATCGGTTGGGGCCTTCGAGTACATATACTGTATTTCCGTGCATTTATTAGCGATTGATGTTGCGCTTTGGAATTTTGACTCACGTCTCCCATTTTCCTCTTGTATATAATGTTGTTCTACGCGAGCACGCTTTTGGACATGCATAGCCTGGTACTCTTGTGTTTTTGTGTCCGTTGCTTCTCCAAGGTCTTCTGTATCTGTAGCAGTGGTTTGTGACAAAACTCTTCGACGTCTGCGTGCGTTGAGGCGTAGCTCAATATGTGCTACCACGAGTTAGCGAGGCCGGATTGGTATTAAAGGTCAACATACATGTCACAAAACATTTAAACAACGCCTCGTCTTCTGGATCGAAGTCACCTAGGATAACTTTGTTGATATCATCCCGACAGAGCAATGGTTGGAGCTGTTTGCTTTGCACGTAATCGGCGATATTGTCGACCAGAAAATCAAAAGTGGGAGTTGGAAGTTCAATGATTTCCCTGACAGTGTATGATAGGCCGCAAAACTTTAGCGAGGAGCAGTCCAGCTTCTGTAGGCGTTCTTGTCTCCTTTTCTCGCGTGAATTCGACTCGAAAACAAATTTCATGAGATGTTTGACTCTCGTTGCTAGCTGATTGGGAAGTGCTTTATCGCTCGGAGACTCATGTAAGAGTCTGTCGGTCGACTGCAGAACGGTTTGGACCTCTAATTGTGTCCGGAGTGAGGAGACAACTGAAAGTAGCTTTGTAAGATCGATATCTGGGCTGTTCAGATGCCAGATATCCCGCATCACGCTACCGTGGTTCGAAGCTAATGACTAAAGCAGAGGAATCGACATTTTTGCCGCAACCCTGAGGATCAGTTTGGTCTGCCTATCCTAGTCAGGAGAAATCGTCGCGGGCTGGGAGCTGAGATAAATTATTCTCAGGACACCCAAGCGATGGGCCCTGCTTACTCTATGCATGGAGGATTAGGCTGCCGCAGTCAGTTTGCATTAGCACTGCATGCTAATATAATAAGCGGTTATGGTTTTCACTTATTATTAGTTGCCTTCAATGAACGCCTCTCTCCACATTCTCCTTTCACCGGACAACAGGTCGAAGCATGAAACCCCGCATGTATGCTGACCAATAAGGATTCCGACAAGTCGTCGACGTGATAGGCTGATGGCCTTCAATGTTGGCTTGACCCTCCGTATGATGTTCGTGTTCCTGTTTAATGATATGCGTCTATCCCTGAACTGATAGTACCTTGGTAATGAGCTGATTGGTTCGTTTACCGGTTCATTTAATGAGCTAGTTGTAACGTTGTTTGCAACTGTTGCTTCGGTTTCTGGGTGCTCAACCTGACCCTCAACGCAGTCCTTCAGGATGGTTGGGTGGTAGATATCTTGCAAGTCGACCGGCCCATAGACCTCTGGTAAGGTATATATTTCCGTGGGTAGCTCTGGGAAGCCAATTCTAACCCCCACCTTCAGCAAAGGGTCATCTGAATCGTACTTGCCCGTCTCATCAAACACCACATCTCGTACGCGGAAGACTCGGGCGGTTCCCTTCATCTTCGGGTTGAATACCCTCCAGATATTAGATGATTCGTAACCAACAAGGTATCCAATCGCGGCACGCGGTTCCATCTTGCTGAGCCTTGGTATTCCCTCACGTCGATAGAATGCCATTGATCCGAACTTGTATGTCATGGAAGCATCAGGTTTGATCGCCTCATATCCTAGAGCATCATTTATTTCTCCTATGGGCGTGGTCCACCTGCCATCTATCTTGATTGGTGTGCGGTTTAGTATCCAACACGCAGCTTTGTATGCTTCTGGATGTAGGGAATGGGGTAGATTCGCTTCTAAGATCATTGCTCTCGCGCGTGTAGTCAGGATTCCACTTCGCGATTGAGGTGACCAAAACGCTCATGCCATTGCTTCTCTGTTCCCTTGAGGTTTTCGGGTATCGCAGATCTGGGATACTTGCGTTTGATAACAGCGAAGGCATAATCAACCTCCTTCTTCGTCACTTGAACGTATTCAACCGTAGGGAGACCATGGTGATATTCTATCACACAGAATTCACTTCCGTCTCTCTCAACAAGCTGCCTGAGCCTCGTGTCTAGGAAGATGCCCTCCTCCTCAGCCTTGGGGAGAGAGAGAATGTTCGTATGCATCCCCGAGATGTAGGCTGTTCGTAGGAGGGTTATTGTAACACCCTGACCATCTGATCGCTTCGCGTTTACCTTTGTTTTCCCCCATTTCTCTATTGGGATCTGCGAATCACCCACGCCGACATAGTCTCCCGGCTCTGGATCGTAGATATCAAACATCCGGTCCAGGCTATTGCAAATGTGCAGCGTGGATCCCGTATCCGCAATTGTAGAGTTGAATAGGTCAGCGATATCTCCTGCTGCGTTCGCTAGGTGCACCGGTATAGAAGGTTTCGATAGAGGCCTCACAGGCTGACCTATCACCATCATCGCGCGTTCGATATTCTTGGATGGTGTTGATCCTCCTGAGATAGGGAATGAGGGCATTTTGAACGTTATATTGCCCCGCTTGAATGAGTCTTCAACGAAAGAGCGTATCTCCGGGTTTTCAAGATTCTTTTTGACCTTCTCAACTATCTCTGGCTTCGGTTTCCAATCCATTGGACGTTTTTCTTCGTTAAGATAGTAGCAGTATCGCGGCCAATGCGGCAACTTCTGCTTCCCAGGGCAGGCCCAACCGCATCGGCATCTCCTAGCTTCTCGGTTTGATTCGCTTTGCTGGTTGGAATCACCTTGATTATACCCCTGGAAGGTCGCAAAGGATGCTTCGTTTGCTGCTTGGTAGACCTGAGTGGTGACCAGATCACTTCGTATTGCCTGGAGAATCTTTTTAAACGTCATCTTCCCTAATTCATTCTTCAATTGCAGTCGTAATGAGTAATATAGGGGCATATTGATCTCTCGAAGCGCGATCAAAAGATCTTCGACATCTGCTCCTCCTTTTATTGATTCTAGACTTCTTCCGCTTCAAGGTGAACGATCTCGAGCTTCTTAAGCCATTCTTGGATCGCCTGGTTTGATCGGTTCTTTGGTGCTCGTCTAACTGATTCGTACTGCGTACGTAGCTCAAATTTCCGATCTCCAGAATCTGGGCCGTATTGTTCCTGCAATTCCTTCGACAGATACGAAAGGAGCGTGAAGCTCAAGACTGGTTGACAGAGACTCCACTACCAATCCTTATCAATTGGATCGATCACAGAAGGCATGTTCTTACTAGGTTGGTCGGCCAAACAATACATGTTGAGCAGAAAGGTACTAATTCATGTCATAATATCTGTGCCTGGGCGAGGGGGATTGACCGGATGTCAACAAGAAATTGAGTCGTATTTCGCCGCTAACTCACTACCCCTGAAAGAGGGAAAGACGTTCTTTGATAAGTCAATTTGATTGGAATTCTAGAGGTGGGCCGGTCGGCTGCACGGGCATAATAAAACCCGGCCATGGTCGGTCAATGCGCGATCTAGGCTAGGAGGGTATTGTCGATAGATAGCGGTCCCACAGATCATGTAGGTGGAAAAGCGGCGCGCGCCACTTCATTCTGGGCGCGTCGGACAACGGCCGAGTCAGTTCACTCACTTGCTGTCAAGGATGGTCGACAGGGTGAAGCATTCCTCCCCGGCTCAGCTTCTTGCGGACTGAATGGGAAACAACACGATTGCAATAGGTGCGGGGGAAGAGGTTTGGCAAAGTTACTGACACACAAGAAACAAGTTCAAGACATTTACATAGAAATAGTCCAATAAGGTGTTTCCTTGGCTTTAGAGAGCCAGAGCGGTGAATATCGCAAACAACCAGGGTAGTTACAAATGCCAGTGGATATCTCCGTGCATAGGCTAATACATGATTCCCTTAAATCATCCCCCCCTTATCTCCAGTATTTCCGTCTTGTCGGTTGACCCCCCAGAGGCCCAAGTAGCGTCTTTCAGATTCCTCTAAACTTGTGGTAACCTGCACCAGGGCATCTTCCATGTTATGAAAGATCTTGAAGATTCGCTCCTGCAACTGCAACAAGGCTTGTTTTGACTCTTTCTGCCACTGAAGTTCTCCCCTCAAATAGCTGACTTCGTAAACGAGGTCTTCTATCTGCTGCCGTAGATCGACTGATGAGCGTTTTGACTGTTGAAGTCGAGATGGGAGCCTTTCAAGGCTGGAGGATGTTCCGCCGTGCCGCAAGATTTGGTCATCTGCAGGAGTGATTTCTTCTGAAATAGAATACAATCGCCGATGAGAAGGGGATGGGCGAAAAGGTTGTTCCATGGCGCTTGTCAAAGAATGCTTCATCAAATCTAGAGGAATAGACAGAACGACCGGATTAGGAGCACTCAGAGTGAAGATTTTCAGATTTCATTCGAGGGAGACGTGGACCCTTTAAGTATTTTTATTTTCAGGCAACAGCTCTGGGAGATAATGACTACAATGTGGGCGCTGCGCCCAGACCTGCGATCCCATTCCTTAACATTCTAAGTCGCCGTAGTTTATTGAGAACAGAAAAGAGAGAAAAAAAGTGAAAGCACAACCTTGCTGTCCACTGCTGGTACTGTAATCCACCAGTAGGGTCCTCATGCACAGGGGTCCTTGCCTCTCTCTGAAACGCATCTGGAGCCATCCTCTGCTGTCATCTGAGTGTAGCGGACTCGTTCACGCATATTTGGCAGCGCTTCCGTGAATTGCTGCATAGTAATGTCCAACGACTCGACAGTAGCTCGCAACGTTGAGATGGAATCGCATAGCCGTCCGTGTTCCAACGTCGCATGAGTGTTGCCCTGAGCTTCGATATGAGCGTTCTCCAGATGGCCTTCGCCTCCATTTATTGTTGTGATGTGGGACTCGGTCCATAGCGAAGTTGCAAGACGCAATTCCATCTCCTTTGCTCTCGCCCTCTCCAAATGGAAGCTTTGGAGTAGAGATTCTTTCTCCCAGCCAACGCGTGCTAACCTCGCTTCCAGGTTACACATCTCATACTTGCTTTGTGAGAGAGCATCCTCCAGCTGTGCAAGGTAATCGGTCATATCCTTTTGCCACGCTTCGGTTTGGTGGATCTTAGACTCCAATTTCTCCTGGTAACCCCTTGACGCCTGCTCCTGGTGATACATAGTCTGACAATTTGAGCAGAAGCTCTTCTGAAAAGAAGTGAGTGAATTGCCAACGTAGGGACCACAGGGCTACTAACTGAGGTTTCAGATCGGATAAAACTGCTGTTGGATATTTGATTCGGAAATGCCATTGTGTTTTACGCGGATGGGCTTTCTTTGCCATCAGACATTTGATCCCGGTGCGAAGAAAAAGTGATAGCCGTTTTAATTCACTTCTACAAGCTTCGACTCGCATCTTCCAGATGAACACAACCGCTACTGTTGGCTCCAGCCACTCCAAATTTGAAGTGGCAGCCAGGAATGGCCAAGAAACAAAGGGTATGCCACAGCGAATACGGCGCGATTTGGGGTTGGCTAGGGGTGGAGTAGTCAATGTAGCAGTCATGATCAACATGACTCACATCATAGAATTAGCGTCACGCTATGACATTTTAAGATAATGTAGGATATGGACTCGACTAATGCGAATCATTTTTTGATCGTCTGTGAGATTACGATCTTCCGGCCAATCAAGAAACGTCCGGGTATTCTTCCACCGAACCGTGTGGGGAGAACTTTTCCATGAATCGCCAGGGACAATGAGAGTAACACGGGCTGGTTTTCCCTTTTCTCCTTCTAACTTTAGGGTCCTTAATATAGTGCAGAGAATATACGGCGACGCCGCAATAATCCCAATGGATAACGCGCAGTTGACTGATTCTGAACCCAATTGTGGGTCTAAGCTACGATAATTTGAAATCATGGCGCTGAAACCGTTGCCTCACCATTGATAAGGTTACCGGATTCTCGGGATCGGCCCGGTAAACTCAATTCCACACTAAAGGGACTTGTTGTGGTCTAGAACCGGAGATCGCGGAAGTGTGATCCACATCAACCAGTATCCAATCTGGGGCCAACAGAATTCATGGCATATTATTTCTGGTTAGAGACTGGAGATAGGTACATTACGTGCTTGAAGCTATTGATCCTTTGTGTCCTGGCAGCGTTGATAATATCATTTGTTAGGGCGTTATGTCCGCAGCTCCATTCCTTCTCGCCGTATGAGAGGTACTCGTGGGAGGTCCCCCGAGATCCCCCACCAGTCTTCTAAACTTTTCCATAGCATGTTGTTCACTCTCAACAAGCTCTCCCGTAGTCGTCGCCAGGCCGTTCACCGTGGAAATAAGCTGATCGACGGTTTTGGCCAGTCCACTGAGCTTCTCTGCCATACTGTCGATCTTCTGGCTTGCCTGGGATAAGCAGCGTCCCTGGTCGGCAACCTCCCTGATTATTTTTAGCTTTGCAAGCGTGCAATGGTACAATACAGGACTTACGTAGCGACATCCGCGAGACAAATGTCGTTGTTTAGTAGGCTAGAAACATTCTTATTAGTTCTCTGAGAGAAAGCGAGCCTGAGTAGTCAACGGCATTGCTTACACCTTTTCCAAGTTGACGATTCTCTTCGACAGACCGTCAATGTCTTTCTGAACGGTGTAGCCTCCTTCCAGCAGGTGTGTAGTTTCAACAGAAGCCGAGAGTGGAAGAATATCTGCTTCAAGGCCTGAAAGGTCCGTGTCTCCGAGTGCAGGGTCAATCAAGGTAGAGAGGTCAGACTCGTATTGCGTATGAGGCTCTTGGTAGGCCCAGCTACTAATAAAAGTAGATGGAAAAGTATCCTGAGTATAGAAAGTTGATGAAGACATGACTAGGAATATCAACGGACACAATTATGGGCATGCCACTGGCTTGATGGGCTCAGATGGTTTATGTAGTGAGCAGTGAGCCTCTGGGCTAGAGTATATTTACAACACCAGCTGCTCTGAAAAAACATTGCCAAGGTCACTCTAAAAGTTTTGACATGCCGATCAATTCCCTGATCGAAATATATTTACTGTTTGGCTTGAACTATACAACACAAGTACATTCCGTTAGCCCATTGGCTACTCAGAAAGGATACTCCTTTGCCAGAGGCTGAAACCCTTGTAGTCCCTTCATTTAACTGCGAAGCTGGAAAATTTGTCAATTTTATGACCCTTTGAGAAAAGTACGAACCGAATAACAAACGGCGAGGTCCGGCACTGTAGGCATACTGCCAGCCTCATTCGGACTTCATTATCAATTATAGCTTAGAATAGTAACAACGAGAGAACAAAGAAAAACGGCTCTATTTGTCATCCTACGGAGGTTTATTATCTGCCTCACCACCCTTGTCTGGGCGTTGGGTGTCAACCGGGTGAGTATGTACACTACGTGGTACCAGATGAAACCCGGGGTCCTAAGAAGAGGCCAATAGTGCTGCTAATACGCTCCCAGTTGAGCTTCCCCTTCCAGTATATTCATAGCTGTCATTTCATGGATTCATCTAATGCAGCAGTTCCGCTTGTGTTAGAACATGAAAAGGTGCCACTCCGAATTTGCATAGGATAGATAGTCAATAGGCATAGTGCTCACTTGCAGAATCTTTGACCGAGAAGTATATATAGGCCGCCATTCCACATTGAGAGGTTTCAGGGATCGACAAAATAGCCAACATGCGCCCTCGTGAAGACGTAGGCTGGCTAGATATAGGCCTCGGCAAGGACATGAGGTATACAATACGTGACAGTGGCCGTCTTGTGCACATCCTCGAGTCGGTTATACAACCAGAAAACAAGTTTCCAGCTCTTTGCGCATTTCTAGGAGGGGATGCTAAAGATAATGCCTTGAAGCATGTTTTCCCGCAAAACAACATTAGAAGGCATCGGTCACGATCAAGCATCGGCCTCCGATATGATGTCGGCTCTCTCCAATCAGCGTCACCTGTGATTATCGCAGATGGGGACCCACAGTTGAGCCCTCGACCGACAGTAAGCGACATATCCGGTACGGACCATTCCATCATGTGGGAGGCAAACTCCCCTAGGATGGTGCTGTGGGCCATTTGGGCACGACTCATATTTTTATTCGCGGATGCCGTTTGTATATTCGCCGACGACTTTCCCGAGCTGTCTGATGTGGTGGATTTCCTAGCGGGGTGCATGGACATGCGCTCGGTATCCACCTTGCCCTTGCCAATAAGACCACGAGTCATAGTTGTGCTTTCTGATGATGCCAATGATACTTTGGAGAGCGCTCTGCAAAGGGACCGATTCTATAGCCGGTTGCAGGAAGCCCACCCAGGGCTTTTCACGGACACCTTCTCTTCCATCAATCTGATCCACTGCGGCGAGAGAAATTTGTCTGAAAAAGCCCGATGTGAGAGATTGAGAACTCTACTCTTTGGACAGCTAAAGGATATGCAGGCGGTTCGCCATGACCACAGAGCCCTCTTCGCCTCGTCTCACTGGAAAGGGTTTTTCCAGATAGCCGTAAGGCACACTGCTAACGAGCTTCACCAACCATTTGATTTTATCAAGGCTACCAGGGCCAGTTATCCCATCCCTCCCAACACGAGCACATGCATAGCCCATTACTGCCAAGCCGCTGAGTTAGCAGGCTTTCAATTTGAGGAAATTGCGCCAACAATCGCCTCTGCCTTGGTGATGGACCACTATGTTCCAGGGATGCTATGTAAGAAATGTCCGGTTCTGGGAATCTCGCCACCTAACCGAGAATATCAGTGTCAGATCCCAGATCAGTTTTCCGTACTCTGTACCGATCCAAAGTTCTTCGAGGGCTCAATCAAAGCATGCCACGAAATCGCGGATCGCCTTTGCATGAGATGGCAGGGCTGATAGAGTGTCACATGATCCAACTAGTTGACAGGCTCGAATGGACTGATGTCCTAGCCGTCGCTGTGCGCGTGGACGAATTGAAGTCCCAGAGCGGCTGGCTATGCCGAATAAGATCTACCCGTGTTTGCCTATACTGCCTCTGTCGCGCAGCGCAGCACGCGTTGGCTTGCGGTCACACAATCTGCGATCATTGTGCCCAAATCTTTGGGGAGCCCACTTTGTCCGTGGACTACCGGTTTACCATAAAAAGCTGTATTTATTGCCTCTACAAGATGCCGCTGGTGATCGACATCCTTTCGCCAACAATGAATCCCACAATCCTTGCCATTGACGGCGGCGGTGTACGTGGTGTCATCCCACTCGAATTTTTGGTCTTGATTCAGGAGCATCTCGGTCCTTCCTGCCCTCTTCAGGACCTGGTAGACCTTGCTGTGGGGACGAGCTCGGGTAAGTGAAATTACCGACTTTCATCTCTCTTGCATCCTGCGCGCCGCGGATTTTCCTGATCCCTTTATTAGCGCCGCTCAAGGGGTCTGGGCACTTGCTGACCGTTCCTAGGCGGATTAAGTACTCTTGGTCTGTTCAAGATGAAATGGAACGCTCGCAAATGCTCAGATATGTTCGATAGGGTAGCGCGACGTATTTTCCATGAAAGACGTGAGTCGGCCATCTCTCGTTTTTTCCGAACGGTATTTAAGGCAGAGCTTCCCTTGGCCATTCTCCCCAGATGGGTGCTATGGCTCCTCCATGACGGATGCTACGACAGCGGTACTTTTGATCTGGCATTGAAGGATGTTTTCGGCGACGATCATAGGATCTTCGGTGCATTCGACCGGCAATCGACCGCAATCTCCGGTACGAGATTCGGTGTTGTGGCAACTAGCATCGCTAAGGATACACACTCATGTGTCTTTGGTAACTTCAACTCCGACCACGGATCTACTGATAACTGCGGTTTGTGCAACCAGGCGTCTGCAGGGAAGACGTTGCTAACCTCATCTTAGAGTTCAAGATTGTACGGCCGCTCAATCCACACCACGAGCCTCTCGTATGGGAAGCGTGAGTCCGGAGGATTCTGATGTTCCTCTCAGCGTTGTAACTGACGATTGAGTAACCAGAGCAAGAGCCACGGCAGCAGCCCCTTTGTGAGAACGCCCTTGCTATGCATTGGCTGTAGATCACAGAATATCTACTGACTTCAGCAACAGCTTTTTCCCCACAGCGGATATTAGGGACATCGGTTCGTTCCAGGATGGCGGGCTTCGAGACAACTTTGCTGCTGGCATCGCTCGCAGGCTCGTACGCCAGGTTTGGCCCTCGAGAAAACATCCAGCAAGGCTGTTATCTATTGGGACCGGCGCGATACTGCAACCGTCCGCAGAGACTCCGCATTTCCGCCATGTTTTCAGGGATAGTTTCGTCCGCCGCGGTTTCGACGCCTGGATGGCATCAATGGATACGGATCCAAAATGGATGGAGATGTTCAACCAACTGGACGAAGCTGACAAACCTGATTATTTTCGGTTCAACGTCCATTTACGTGAAATCCCAAATGCTATTGACAGCGTTGAGGCCATGGATGATTACCGCAATCTCGTCATACTTCAGGCTGGAAGCGCCGCTCTTGCGCGCGACGCAGCCATTGCGTTCCTGATCTCTCGCCTATATTTTGTGGTGGAGGCTATCCCCGAGACAGGGAATTTACCGCTTTCTTGCCGGGGAACTGTCCGGTGTAAAGGGGTCGCGCGACAGATAATCACGGCGATAGAACGCCTTCATCCACAGCGTCTGGACTTTATAACTGACTCCGAATCACTCGGATCCTTCCAAGCCTTGGAAGATGTCTGTAGAGGCTGCGGTCGTTATCGCAAAGCCGTGTCATTTTTTATCAACCACCTAGACGAAACCGTGAACATTTATTTGCGATCAAATTCCCAAAAGAGGTGGAGGATCAACGGATTTCCAGACACTGTACGGTCATTCATTTTGGCGCAGAAGATCGACTCTCCATTTGGTCAGCATCACCACGGTCGCGCTGGAATTACGGCCTGTAGTGAGTGCACCGCTCATGTTGGTCCATTTCAGGGAAAGCGCAGAAAGCGAGCTTCAGATGTCTCACAACAGGATGGGGGCGGGAAGCGATCGCGGGTCGCGTGATCAGACAGCACACGGTTCACGAGGTACTTTGGAGTGGCTCGTTGTGGGTCAAGCTACTTACCCTAGCTTTGTCCGATCCATGATCGATGCATCACTAATTGTTCTTCCCATAACTAGTCGGGGAGGTTGACTTACCCCCCTTTGGATTCAATTTAAAAAGAGTTACCATCTCGTGGAGAGATCTGTTTTCCTTCTAGCCAGCTCCTTTTTTTTTTCTTCTAATCCTCAATTTTTCCCTGCACCTGAGCTTTGCTTCCTTCTATTCTGCGTGCATTGCCTAACATGGGTGGTTCCGACCCTGGCAAATCGGAACGCGACAAGATCTCAAAGAGAAAGAAGACTGCAATCCATAAAGCATTCGAGTTAGCAGATCTTTGCCATGCTAAGGTCTTCCTCCTTATCGAACACCCTCGAGGTACCACAATTTTCAATTCCGTAGAGGATCATTCTTGGCCACCACCAACCCTAGCTCCGGCAAGTAACTTCTTAAGCTACCACTATGGTACACGCACTAATTTTACTAGGACCACAAGGAGCAGCTTGAGGACATAGTGCATCGAGTCTATCCATCCGACATTCGTCGAGAGAAGATAAAGAAAGAGGCAAAAGAATGGTGTTACTACTTCATGTACCGGGCAAGTCTACGAAAGTCGCTGACTGTTCCTCTACCGTGTAAGGATAGTGCTTAGTAGAAATGACCAAGGGGATTGTGATACATAGGATGTAGCTTTCAGTGAAGGTAATCAATCACTTCTATCTTCGTCCTGCGGTTGGATGAAGAGCCATGACCTCCGAGCTTGAAAACGTTGCCCCAGGGTAGGACATACTGTAGACTTGATCCGTGTCGTTTATCGCCAGTCAGACCCGTATTCAGCGACATTGACCTTACTGAGGGATGGTAATGAAGAGTATTCTCGTAGATCTGCGGTCACGGGACACTCCGTTTCGAGCGTGGTAGAGAGTTAGTGCACGCTGATTCTGGATCGATCGGTAAATACAGCTTAAATGCACAGGAGAGCCTGTATTGACGGCAACGAAATGAACCAAATGACAAAGGATGGAGGATCAGCCTTCTAGTGCGGGTAACCAAAGGAGAGCCCACTGGCGATCACTGTGCCGCGAACGTCTCTCACAACACATATGTATCACGGATATCAGCCCTCAGTGAACTCTATGGAGTGATTCTGACGCAGCAAATAGGGGAGGCACTCAGGATCGTTGTAAAACCATCTGAAGTTCGGCTGAAGTTTGGAGAGGAGCAAGCGCAGTATGCATGGAAATTCAACGACGAAAGTTTGGTGCCGCTATTTGACAAGCACCTAAGCAAGCACTCCGTGGGTGCCTACATGCAACTACACCGAGAAGCAGGCAAGGGCTTTTGTGCAGTCCACCCGGAAGACATTGTAAAGGTAATCTATGATTTGCAGAATATTGCTTGGTAGGGACTGACCGAGTTAGGACACTCCTCAAGTGGATATTGAAGAGCAGCTCCTGCGTCTGGAGGCTGAGAAAGCAGATCTAGCTGAGAGACTTGCCAGGGCGGAAGTTCGTATAGTAGCACTTGAGGCGGCAAACGTGCAACACGAAGAGACGATTTTTGCGCAGAAAAAGATCATTCAAGACACCCAGGCTTCCATCAATCTCTACGAACAAGATATTCAGCAGTGGATGTTAAAGGTGGAACTTTACGAAAAAAGCACTATTCAATGTTCTTATGCTTTACAACAGATCATTTGCTATTTACAAGGTGTCCAAGTTGATATTCCAACAACTTATACATGATAAGGGTTCTTTTTTTTTTTTTAGTTCCAGGAGGAATCTTTTCTGTCCTTCAGTGTTTTGTTCATGTAGTATTCTGAAGAGAAAAATGCTGCGCGGCGAACCTAGACCAGTTCAACAAACGGCCGTCTATTGATATTGAAATATGAACAATATGTGAATAAACAAAAGAATGATCACTTTTAGAGACAAGATCTGGGCTCTCAACGACTCGTCTTTACTGCTTGAACAGGGAAACCTGGGGAGGGTAGTGTGGGAGAACACGAAGACTTTCCTCGCCTTGGCTGCGCGAGGGTGAAATGTATGTTTTGAATGGTGGCCATATTTTTCAACGTCTAAAATCCGGTCAGCTCTCCGGTGGCCTCACGAAGCTAATATCATTAATAGATCTTGTACGGTCTGTTTCCCAAGGTATATGGAGTAAGATTCCATGGTCGAGAAGCCCAACACTTCAATATTTGTTCAATTCGGATGAGGTTTAGACTGTTTAGGTGCTCGACAAAATAAGATGTTAAAGTATTATATTCGTCTACATTAGCTCTGAGCTCGAAACTTGCTTCATGGCCGCTAGGTAGACTTACGGTATGATAGAGCCACGTATGACAGGAGATCGCCCCCGTACATGGTTCGTGAAGACTTCGGATCTAGCACAGTGTGTGTCCATTCGATAATTAATTATCGGCGCGGCTGCGCGCCACTCAACTTGACGCAAGGTCGGAGAAACGTCTACTTCATAAAGGGCCTTCGCCGCTGTTAGGACTTGTTCAGCCCCAGATCTTCATACCTAAATTGTTCGGGAAAATGGGAAGGAAAAAAGGCGGAAAGCCTAAGGCATCCCCTGCCAGAGGCAAACAATCGGCCGAGAAGCGTCTCAAAGGGAACGACGACAGCCCCGAAGGCCAAAACAGCGCCAGTTCCATCGATGACGCGGGTAAACGTGTCGCTGATAGCACCGAAACTGATCATACCGGTGGTGCCGACGATGCCAACGATGTCACTGACTTGAATTCTGAGAAGAGTGACGAAAGCTCTGAGGATGAAGCTGAAGCGAAAAAGCAGCGCCACAAAAGACCTAGAAGAAGCGAGTGGGCACTTGCGCTCATTCAAGCCTTCGTTGGGGAAGTAGGAGCTAAAGTCAAGGACGCTCTACAGTCAGATCCTCCGGACCTTACCGCAGTTGAATCACTTTTATCTGGGCTTAATAAGGACATCCAATCCGCCAACCATGCAAATCAAGCTCATCTGACCGATGGACTTTTAATGGTCAATATGTATAGACATACGTACGACGGATGGGCGGCAAAGATCGGCATGGCCGATGTGCAAGACAATGCCGAGAAAGGTTGGAGAGCATATGATGCGACGCTGGAACTTCTTCGTGTCTTCAACCGCGAAAACGGCCTGCCTATTGACTGGGTCTTTTCACCTGCAGCGACACAGACAATGTTTGGAGAGAGGCCGCCAAGTGTGATTGAGCCATCTCCCGATCTGGAAATGGACTCCGCCGTCGAGTATGAAAGCGAAAGTGAAAGCGAAAGTGAGAGCGAAGCTGGAATCGACGGCATTGACGCTTTGGAAAAAAGGATGCGGAAGGAGTACAGCTCATTGTCAAGGGGGAAAGTCCTCTACTGGTGGCCGGTGGGGACAGGCACTCAAATCTTTGTGCGATACGGCTCCAAACGGAAGGCCATATACCGTGTGCGGGCGGGGTCCTCCATGCCATACAGTGAGCACGACACCGAGCTGGTTTTGGGCCAGACTCGTGGGAACAAGAAGATGATCATAAAAGATGATAGAGGAAGTATAAGAGAGGCATGGGAATACACCCGAAATCAAGTTGATGACATCGTTGGGGTTGGCTGGAAAATCGAAGACGACGACGAAGCCGGAGTGAACGCATTGGAGCTGATTCGGCCGAGGAAATGCGCAATGTATCCCCATACTCGAGTCGTCGTGAAATGGAAAGATGGTCAGACAAGTCTTGAGCGCAGAGGGTTTGTCCGACGGATTGCCAATGGAACGAGCCTCAACGGGGACCGAATGATCTACCTGAAAGCGAGAGAAATGGAGAAGACTTACTGGGGAGACGAATTTGATGGCGAGACCGAGGAGAGCGACTCGGGCAATGAGACCGAGACCACCCAGTCGACGAAAAGATCTCGACACCTACGGCACCGAAGTCGTCCGTCTCGCAGACATTGGCAAGACAGCGATAGCTCTGAGAGTGATGCTGATTCGGAAACCTCTGAATCCAGTTTGGAGTCTAAACCCAGAAGGTCACGTCGACACAAGGTCTCCAATGCCAACAAACACAGAGCAGGTAAGAAATCTAGGAGATCAGGTCAAGAAGATCGTCAGATCCGCATGCTTCAAGATCTCTTGGAGCAATTGACAACCAAGAGAAACTCCGATAGACCGAGTGAGCGGTCTCGCCGTTCTCGAGGCGTCCGTCGTAGCAACAAGCCATAGCACCAGAACCTTATTTGGCTATTTCGGTGTCATGCTAGCTTATTAGTCCGACAATTGATGTGAAATAGACGTTGGATGGTTCTCAGGAAAAGGAAAGGGAAAGAAAAGAGAAAAGAAAAAAAGATGTCGCACCGCTTCATTTCGATTTACGTCATTTAAACCAAACGCTTCCTGCTTCTGTATTGTTTATCCTAGTTAACAATTGAATTTGGGTAATCAAGAGAGATAACAAACTAAGCATTGAGTCTAGACAAGTGTCGTTAAGCTGGAGGGGGGAAAAAGAGTTTGATCCACCGCAGTCACACAGGCAACATCTATGGGTCCAGTGACTCCAGTCTTCCAGATAGCTACGCCGACCCGTAATTTGAAGGGACACCAACACGTAGAATAGAAAGCCATACCCGCTTGTCGAAGCATATCGGTTGAGAATATCTCCTTTGAGTAATCACTTCTCAGATTTTTCATCGTTCTATTTCCGGATTTCTTGCATAATCATGATCTTCGCTTAGTATCGAGGTTGCGCAGTGTTCCGCTACTTCATTGGTGAAGCTCTTCCAGGTTGCTTTTTCAATCAGCATGCGGATGATTTGCTGAACAGCTATCGAGTGAAAAGCCGACTGTATGCTCGTGGACATACTGACTGTTGTCTCCCGTAGTATAAGTCACTGGGAATGCCTTTGGCGCCGAATTCGTCATTAGTCGCAGGGACCCCGCAACGCCAGCCGCCACCGCATACGTTCAGAAGCGGATTCTCCGCCACTGGATTGGATGCCACAGCCTACCAAGCACTCACCCACTAGCCAAGTGTATAAAGAACATCAACCAGCAGTCTAGATCGCCATTTGGATCACTGTCTCGGATACTGCCGCTTGAACAAAGTCGCATGGAGACAATCATACCATACCATTCTGCCCCATGGGAATTAGACTGGCAAAAGGTTATATGCCATGAAGGAACGGAAAAACACAGAAACCGCCTTTGAAAGACCGAAGATCAAAATCTACACCTACGGATCAGCACAGAATAATCCGATCGGAATTGGTCTGGCAGTGGTGACCGGGGATCAAATTATGAAATCTACCTCCACAACAGTGGAGACAGACCACCACATAGACCTACATATTGCCCAACTTGGCGCTATCCTGGAAGCACTCCAACTGGCAGAGGGAACTGCTTCAAGGACCCCCGACCTTGACGGACGTCATGGGTATCATAATCTATTCAACTAACCAATCTAGCCTACAGTGTATCACCAATCAAGGATCCGATGGAGGACAGCACGTCATACAGCAAATCATAAGACAAATCAAGCAAATGACGCAGATTGAGATTCAACTCACGATCAGATGGATAGCAAACGATTTACAGAACCAAGGACTTCAAATGGCCAAGGCAGCGAGCCACTACGCCACCCAGAAGGGAGCTCAGCCGGATCCACCAGCTTGGGCTACCCAACGCGCAAGATCCACTGCGTGGAGGCAAATGCGGAATACGCTCAATCAGGCACGAAAGGAGCAGTTCCTACAAAGTCCCTTTGGCAAGTACACAAGAGAGATCGATGCGTCCCTTCCAGGACGACATACTAGGACCTTGTACGATCAGCTCAGCAGGACATAAGCATCGACCTTGGCTGCTTGGCACAGCTCCGAACAGGCCACACTCAATTGAATCAATACCTACGCCGAATTGGACAAGCAGCTGATGAAACCTGTGAATGCACAGAGGGGCAAGAAACAGTACAACATTTTCTTTTCGAATGTAAACGATGGGAAACGTACCGCGGGGAAATGAGAGTGGCAATGGGCAATCGATAAGGGGACATGTCATACGCATTAGGAGGCCGATCAAGGAGAAAGAAACCCTCAGGAGAAGAACTCGACCAGGAAAAGAATTGGAGACCGAACATGGAGGTGGTTAGAACAGTGATACGATTTGCTATGGCAACAGGGCGATTGAACCATGAGAACTAAGAAAAGGCATGTCACATGCTTAGATAGATGACTCAGCATAATCAGCGCGGAGGCTAGTTACATGCAGCCTTAGGCTGCGCACAGCCGGAGGAATAATTCATTCATTCCATCGTCGGGCATTCATCGCATCAAATAACTCTCTCAACATCAGAATGTGATATTCTCTGAGGCTATACGGGCCCATTCCTATCTCATGAACCAGAATATTTGTATTTGGCCACAAATGTCGGGTGATTCCAACGCACCGCGTGTGAGACGCAAATTGCGGTTACGCGCTTTGAATCTGCTATCTGCTAAGGTGGGTGCGGCTATCAGTAAGAAATGCTATAATTACAAACCAATCATATTATACAAGTGTACACTCTGACATTCGGGCAGTCCTTCAATGTCCTGTCTCCACAAGCGAGCTTCCCTCCAGCAGGCAACCGGGATGCGCTGGATTCGTCTAGCTCTGCGGGATGAAAGGAAGTTGCTGCACAGCACCGTCCATGTCTGTTGATTTCAACAAGCCTACTTAGCATCTGTCTTGTAATCTGTGCCTATGGCGTTTGCGGCGCAAGTGCCAAGTAAGATTGACTGCCTCGTTTGCCACTACCAGCATCCACAACCTTGCTACCGCGGCTGCAATGCGGCATCAAGGCAACCTTGAAAGGCTTACAAGGCTCTGGTTGGCGGTACGCTTCTTATCGGTGTACCCTTCAATTCACTCAATCAGATGATGTGGGTCTGTGAAGACCCTGGGGTTGCTTGGAGAGAAGGTTTGAATGACTGCTAGAGTGAATGATTGAGCTGCGCCGCTGCGGACATCGCCTTCTTTCAGGTTCCAGCAATGTCTATATCTTCAACCTTAACACTTCCCCTCTTGACATTCATCTTGTTTTCCTTCAACTCAGAGATCCTCATCGACGCATCGCCGGCTTAAGCAACGCCGTTTCTCTTATCTTGCTTCACTTGGAAGATCTTCATTTTGCGCATCGCTAGTCCAAGCATCATCATTGCAATATGTCTGCTCCGCCTACGGCTCCAGCCCTATCCCTAGAGGCGAGCTTGTATTTGTTCCACCATGTTTTCCTCCCTCCGAAGCTCCCTCAGAGTGATGACTACGACGCCGGCTGCGAGCTCATCCTCCTTGACTCTGTGATCAATACCCTACAAAAGTTCAGGGCCCTCGTGCCCAACCAGCATCGCCAGGTGCTGGGCCCAGTCATCACAATGGTCGCTCGCCTGAGAGAAATTCGCGGATCCCATGGTGACGTGAGCGAAGGAAAACTCAAGGAGGCTTTGCAAAAGCTAGATACTGAAGGTAAAATTTCCGTTCCGTGCCATAATTTTCAGGTGAATAACCAGTTTTAGGAGGCGTATTGCCCGTTCATGTTCGATGTCAGAACGCCGCTGTCCTAATGACTAGGAACGACAACGCAATACATGTGGAGGCATTCGAGCTGTCTCCTCAAAATGAAGCTGTCAATTCGACAGTTGGTCGCCTGCAGCGTCAGTTTCCTGGACCGTCTTTTATGTTGGACCGGGCCACATTCAATGCTCCGGGTCTGCAGGATACCATCGCGCAGACACTCGCAACAATGAGCCATCAGTCCGTCGCCGGAACCAAGCCGAAGGTGAAGAAAGCTCGCCAAGAACACGATGAAGATAGGGATACAACCAATCCGAAGATGGTGACAGAATTCTTAGCGGCCTTCTTGCGCCCCTGCGCCGCCGTTTTCGACGGTCTGCAAATCCATAAGAATACCCGTGAAGAGGTGCTGTGGCTCGATAGCCGGTTTCCCTGGCGGCGATCCCCTTTGTGGCTCCTCGTCCGTGTAACCCTTCAGGTGATTCTTCGAAGGCTCTGTCATCGTGATGGGATATCTGATGATATTTACAAGCACTACATGGTGTACTACATGAGTTCGGTTCTAAACGACTGCCTCAAAAAGACCATGTCCGATGAACAGTTTTATCTTATGAATGCCAAAATTGCCCGCCGGCTACGTAAGCTTGACTTGTCACACCTTCCTGCATGGTTTCCGTTCGTTCAGAATGTCCTTCAAGGAGCAAACGCTTCCATCTCGAAAAGCTGGCGCGGTATCATGGCCCAGAGCGGTCCTCGACATGACAAAGATCGTCTGGCAAAATTGAACTTTGGCAAGGATATTTACTGTTCACTGCCTGACCTTGATAAGTGGCTTGAAGCTCTCGATGAACGACAACACTGCTCAAGCTCGGCTGATTTCCAACCATGTACGGGACTCTTGGAATTTGAAAAAACAGAGCTTCCATTGTCTTTGAATACCAGCGACCCTGACTACAAGCTCCTGAATCTTGCGGCCTTTGAAGATTGGGTTCGGTTCAATCTTGATAGTTGGCTCGAGGTACACCTCAGCGGCGAAGACACTTGCCAGCAGTTGGACAATTTGATTAATCATTATTATGGTGTTGCATCCCCACTTTACTCCCGCAACCCAGAAGCCGTATCAGTTATGCTCCTTACTATCCTAGAATTGTGGATCGCTTGCGACAAATCGGCATTGAATATTCACCCACTACTTGGTGATTATGACAACTGCATCCCGATGGACATGTTTGAGTTGCTTGTGTTGCCCTACCGATCGCAGATGGAGAGACTGGCTTGTGCAGAGGACTATATGAATCAACGTCGACAGCGCCTTCGCTTTCCTGAGTCCTTCATTTTTCAAGACTTTGGCACTCGGTCCTGCTTCTCCGTCAGATTTAACTGGGCCAAAAACATCAAAGATACAGGGAACTGTACGCTCTCGCCGATCAGTTGGAATGCACGTATTATGGAGTCATCCCTGACCCGCGCTTTGATCTTACAGAATCGCGGCACAGCCCTAACTGTCAACGCTGTGCGTACAAGACTGCAGCAGAATTGATTAAAATAAATATCCATGAATGGCCCTTACCTACAAATCCTTTGCAGGCAAAAACTACGGTGTTTGAGCTGAATGTCCCTCGGTCTTTTGCATCCTGGCGTGACACCACAATATTCTTCTTGCTCACCGTTTTGCGACTGGCTTATTTTCCCAAGGAGCAACCGAGAGCCAGGCACCAACTGCAAACATACAGTGGCCTCTCACCTTTTTTCACGCCCACGAATAACTCCCAGAGAGTTTGCCTCCTCTCGCAGGATAAGCCCCACGAAACCACACATAGACGGAGCAAGAGCATTATTGATGTGACCGAGGAAGATGTCTGCCTAGAGAACGGGTTGAATCTCTGTTACTTCGATCAGGAGACTGATTGCTTTGTCACTCGATTCGAGACCACGGACGAAACCGCATCCTCGTGCACTTACAAAGTGCCCCAATCCAGCTCAACCCTGCAAAAGTTCCTATTTCGACCAGCATATAGCAGAAACGGGCCCTCACCTAACACTGTCATTGCGTCACAGGACATTTGCCCGCATGACATGTCACTAGAGGAGTATAAGGCGCTTTGTTCAATGCCACTCGGTGTGGAGATTCAATGGCAAAATATCTTACGGCAGTTGGCCATGCCGTCTGTCGTATTCAAAAAAGTCGAGACTTGCATCTTCATCCTGCAGATCATCCGCCAAGCTGGGCCGTCAACCAAGGACTCGGTTCTGCGAGCGGGACACGTTATCTTAGACGATGATCGGTTTGCAACTGTACTGCTGGCCGAAATCGCCAACGCGGCTGGTAGAATCGAAGAGAACTGGGAGTCGGCGCAGGAGCTCAGCGCACTAATCTTTCTCACACAGAGGGTTCTGTCCGTTTCAACCTCTACCCGGGTTCGAGACCTATGCCTGGCGCAGCTTTCAACTCTCCGTACTACCAGCTTCAAGTGGGTCACACTTGTCAGGGAGCAAGCCAGTTATTCGGACACCGACACGCATCGAAATGATTTGATTGCACGGAGCACTTATCTAGCATTGATCTGTGTCAGCACCTTTGACATTGAAAGTCCTGTTTTGGAGCAAATCCTAGAGATTGAGCGGAACGCCTCAGTTTGGCTTCAATGTTGTATGATGATCCACGACAGAAAAGGCCTTCTCGACATGACGCCCGGTTGCTTGCTTCAGATTCTATACGACCGTTGGCAAATCGTCTCTTATCGCTCCTACCGTGTCCTGGCACTCAACGTGGTCCATAAAAAGAAACTGGCGATTGACCTTGCTATCAAGGAGGCTTGGGCCGCGTACCATTCAGATTCTCCTTGGTCAGTTGCTCCTGGAGGCGGTAATCACTGGCTAGTAACTGGTGATCGCAGCCTGCTTGTGCATTTCAATCTGCTGACAGCTGAACTGCTCATCAACGGCCTACCATTGGCTTGTCTGCCCTTAGACTACGAGAGCCACAAAACATACAGAACTCTATTTGGGCAGTCTCCTGTTGATGTAATGCCCAGTGAGCTCCCGGGAATGCAGTTCTCCGGCCAGAGAAAGCATATGGGCCAAACAATACATCTGGGAAAGGAATCTATCCCTGGCTCGGAGGATTTCGACATCTGCGTTCGGGCATTCAGCGAGGAACACCGGGTCCGAGAATTTGTACCGGTCAGGCTTCTCACTGGGGCTTTTCCGGATGCCTTTGTTGAGGATTACGCGCACTGGTATGATCTTAATGGCGGGTACGTGGAGTTTTGCCCAGTGAAAGACCCCTGGCAGGCGTCAAGCTCCCACTGGCGCTTGCAACGAAAACGCGCCGGACAAAATGGCTGGTGCCTTGTGAAAGGCGAGATTTCTTTGGTCAACATCAGGAGCCAGACGGCTGGCTCGCTTTTCAGCATCTTACAACCCGTCGAAAGAGCCTCGAGACTGCATTGCAAGTTCCACACCTCATCGTCCATGTTAGAAATTGACATCCCCCGGCTGAGGTTGAGCTTCAGTCTCCAGTCAGGGCATTCATCGATTCGATCTCGTCAATATCGGGGCATGAAGATTGATCCGGATCAGTCACTGGGTACTCTGGTCGGCTTGCGCAGTAAACTCATCCTTCTCCATGAGCACGACCACAGCCGAAAGATTCTCATCCCAGATGGCGCTGTAATATGGGTAAAGGATGGAGGACATGTTGCTGTGAACATTGGCTGGCAGGCTGTCTCTAAACTCCATGTTTATTCGGTGGATAACCAACTTGGTCGCTTGGTTGACAACGGGAGTTTGCAAAGCAAGCTCATGCTATGCTACTTACATGCTGTCACATCGTTCTGTGTTCCCGATGTATTGACCAAGAAGACGGGTACTGAGCAGTCTCTGTCTATCCTTCGTTCAGCATCGATGCGGTCTTTCAGCCAACTGACACCGGAAAACATTTCGATTCTGGTTGAGCTTGCATGCCTGACCCCTGTGAGAAAGTACTATCCAGCCAATGAACGCGTGATGCAAAGCGTTGAATGGCAGAACCTGGGCTGTTTGGTCCACCATGATGACTTTCGTGAGCAGGTCCAGGCAATAATCGACCAGGACAGCCGGATGATGATGTTCTACCCGCACTCCCAGCGGAATCAACCTATTCTGCCGGTTTCCGATAAGGATCTCCTGCAGCGTGATAGGATTAGATCATCGTCATTCCGTACGTCTGGCTTCGGAGCCGAGGGCCATACATCCACCTTTGATGATTCATATACAGAACGTGGTCGAAACCACCAATCAGAAGGATTCTCCCGTGTGTTTACCTTGTGCAAAACCATCCACGAGGGAACTCTGCATTCAGCTCGAACAATAACCGATCAGGACCTGCTCTCACATATCTGGGGGTTTCTCTGTCTGCCAGAAGAGGTTCATGGTCCCGCCATGGTGGTCGAGAAGGCGATGGTCAAATATGACGCAACCTGGTTGTTGGATCCAGTGGACTTTGTCTCGGCTTATTGGTGCGGCATTCATCAGTTACTTCGCTCTGGAACTACTCGACCAAATAAACACCAGGTGATGATCTGGCTCTCGGTATTGGCGTTTTCCGATAAAATTCCAATGGCTGTTTTGGAAACGTTTGCCGCCTTTTACGTTATACCGACCATGGCCGCCTGTAGGCCGCCATCCAGGCCGTCATTTCAGCCAACCAAAGGGTATGCGCTGAACAAAAATTTGCTCAAGTCCCGGATACAGTCAGTCACGCGCGATCAGACGCCAGAGTCATCAGATCTTCCCAACCGTGGGGAGGAGTATGGCGCATTCAAGTCGCGCATACAAAAAAAGACACTGAGAAATAGGGCACAGGCGCTCAACAATTTTATCGCGGGCCTGTGCACCCAATGGCCAACGTCAACGCCCTCAGCTCCCAATAGTCAAGGAAGTCCCAAATTTGAGGATTATTACAATTCACAGAAAGCCATGGCCATCGTACGCAAAAGCTTCTCGGAATGGTATGATAATGGAGAACTCCGAGAGTATCTGACGAGGGTCGCTTCTGTGTTTTCTGGTCAACCTCTACAAGTTGTGGCCGTGCCCTCGCCGCCGTCTTCTACGCCAGCTCAACCTCCCCTGCGAAAACGCGGATTTATTTCAATTGACAACGTGCTCGATCAGTCCCTTGGCACACCACCAGTGCTAGCGACAGAGTCGCCAGGCTTAGGGGACATGTTGCATGCTAGTTCCACATCCGTGGAGCCCGCCCTGCGTCTTCCACCACTGGTCATGGCGTTGGGATTGCAAGCAAGTTCCGATTATGAAAGGGAGTACGTCGAACAGCTCCGGGACAGCACCAAGTCACTGCAGGAAAAAAGGCATGCGGATCAGATTACCTTGCATAGAGACGAGCTGGAAAATGTCACCTGCGACTATCTTCTGCGCTGTGAGACGCACTCCAGGGAGATACATGACGCTATACTTGCGAGAATGACGCTTTCTAGTGCGGCAGACCAAGAAAGCCTGGTTCATCATGCCACTTTGAAGATATTAACAAATATCAACATGGCTCCGAGATTCTCACCAGAACTCTTCCTCCAACAACTAACGCGAAAGAGGTGGAGTCAACTGCCCATGGGATGGAAAGCCTGCTTTGTTACCTATGGGCTTTCTATCACGGCCCTTCAGCGAGCAAAGCGGCTGGTTAGCCTGATCAGTCATCGAGAAGAACTAGTCCGGGAGCTTCAGAACCCTGGGCACTCTAACTGGGATCCATACGAATTTCCGGAGTCGCTATTGCTAGAGATTGAGAATGGACTCCTAATCAGGGACGTCCAGGAGCAAATTGCCCGGCAGATGAGGAACATCCAGCCAAGGCAAAACGCCGTGATGCAACTCAACATGGGCGAGGGCAAGTCATCGGTCATTGTTCCTATCGTAGCAGCCGCGCTTGCGGATGGGTCGTGTCTGGTCCGTGTGCTTGTAGCAAAGCCACAATCTCGCCAGATGTTTCAAATGCTAGTTTCCAAGCTTGGTGGACTGTTGGGACGCCGAGTATACCACCTGCCTGTATCACGCTCGCTCAGCATAAGTGAGACAGAAGCATCAGAAATGGAGCATATGTGCTTGGAGTGCATGGAAGAGGGGGGTGTTTTGCTGGTCCAGCCTGAACACATCCTGTCATTGAAGCTCATGTGCCTTGAGTGCTTTGTCACCGGGAGAGAAGCAGTCGGCCGCTGTCTGCTGAGAACTCTTGAACTCTTTCGGACGTCCTCGCGCGATGTGGTCGATGAAAGTGATGAAAACTTCAGTGTCAAGTTTGAGTTGATCTATACCATGGGTTCTCAACGCGCCTTAGAACTCAGTCCGCAAAGATGGACCCTGACCCAACAGCTACTTGGTTTAGTGCGAAGGTATGCCCCAGCTGTCAAAGCCAAATTCCCTCAATCAATTGAGATTCATGAGCAACGACCGGGGAGCTTCCCTCGAATACGACTACTCCACAAAAAGGCGGCGCTGGAACTTTTCAAACTGATTGCCGACCACATATGCAACAACGGCATTGACTCGTTGCCTATATCCAGGCAGCCAGAGGTGACGAGAAGGGTCATTCTCTCCTACTTTCTCAATCTCAATCTATCAGCCCAGGAGATTGCTGCGGTTGAAGATGACAGCGCGACCAGTTTTTGGACCGCCAGCACCAAGGATCCCCTTCTTCTGTTAAGGGGCCTCCTTGCTTGTGGCGTTCTAGCTTCCTGCCTCAGCCAGAAACGATGGAGGGTTAACTATGGGCCTGATGACTCTAGAAACCCGCCGACAAGACTTTCTGTTCCGTACCGCGCTAAGGACAACCCAGCGCCACGGTCTGAATTCAGCCATCCTGATGTTGTTGTCGTATTGACATGCCTCAGCTACTACTACGCTGGTCTCAGCGATGATGACCTAGTCGCAGCATTTCACCATTTACTCAAATCCGACCAGGCCGACACAGAGTACCAAGCATGGATAGATGATGCACCAGACCTGTCGTACGCATACCGCCAGTTGGGCGGGATAAATCTCCAAGACCGACATCACTGTATCGAACATGTTTTCCCGAACCTGCAGTTTTCCAAGGGAGCCATTGACTATTTCCTCGCTCATCTTGTTTTCCCCAAGGAGATGAAAGAGTTCCCAAACAAGCTATCCGCGTCGGGCTGGGATATTGGCGAGATCAAAACACATCCAACTGCAGGCTTCAGTGGAACAAACGATTCCTGGGTCACGCTTCCCTTAAGTGTAACGCAACTCGACCTCCCCGAGCAGATTCACACCAATGCTCTGGTGCTCGAATACCTCCTCCGGCCGGAGAACTCGATTGTCCATATCCCAGTGCGCAATTTAAGACTGGCCAAATCAGACGCGGAGGCCCTGCTCGACCTGGTTGTGAGTTTGGATCCACCCACGCAGGTTGTTCTTGACGTGGGCGCCCAGATTTTGGAGCTGACCAACCTGGAAGTTGCTAAGACCTGGTTGAGAATGGTGCCTGACGAGGGACGGGCACAAGCCGTCGTTTATGTCAGTGACGGCGACGAGATCTGTGTTGTTGACCGGACTGGGCTTGTCGAACCACTACAAATCTCACCATTTGCAAAGCAGCTGGGGGCGTGCCTTGTCTTCCTAGACGAGGCCCATACAAGAGGTATTGACTTGAAACTGCCTCAGCACTACAGAGCGGCTGTAACCCTTGGAGCTGGTATAACAAAAGATAAGCTGGTGCAAGGTAAGATCACCAAGGTTAGCACCAGTCAAAAATCGCTTACTGATTACTTGTACAGCATGCATGAGAATGAGGAAATTGGGCAAAGGGCAGTCTGTTGTCTTCTGCGTCCCTCAGGAGATCAGGTCAAAGATCCTCTCCATCATTGGGAAGCCCAGCGGGTATGACATCGACGTATCGGAAGTGCTCCGCTGGGCGGTCTCGGAGACGTGGGTCGACATGCAACGTAGTATACCGTTGTGGGCGATTCAGGGAGAACGTTTTGAGCGCCAAAACAATCTCTGGAGCAAGGCCCGCCGTGATGGTGAGACTCAGATGTCCAAAAACCAAGCAGAGGAATTCCTCGAGCAGGAATCCCGATCTCTTGAGCAGCGATATCGGCCCCATCCTGACAACAACGCACCGCCTTTTATCACATCCGAGAACGACGACAACGACAACATCCGCCTTATCTTGGAGAGGTGTCGCGAGTTTGAGAACATAAACTTCCAATCCACACAACTCCAAGAAGAACAGGAAAGACAACTCGCGCCGGAAGTCGAGCAGGAGCGACAAGTCCAACGGCCACCTTCAGCCACACCTGAGGATCATTCTCTTCACCCAGACTTGCGTCACTTTGTGACAACTGGAATACTAAAGGATGGATCAAACGCATTCATGCCCGCTTTCCAGGGGCTAGATAATACATCAGCGGCAAAGCACTTGAACGTATCTGAGTTTGCTAAGCACTCGGACGTGTCTGAGCTTCCCCCCGGCCTCCTTGTCACCAGTGATTTCGCTAGAACTGTTAAGGTGCCCAAGTTGCCGTCATCAACCATGGACGATTACCAACGCCCCGTCCAATGGGTCCTCACGGGTACCGCCCATTCTTTCGCCGGACGGAATAGAAAGACTGTGAAGCACGTGATAGTCATAAGCCCTTATGAAGCGAACGAACTCCACTCCGAGATCCTGAAGTCTAAGAAGGTCACGATGCACATATACGCGCCGTGCCAGAACCGAATCTTCTCAGCCCTCGACAACCTCGGCCTGTATCCTATACCGGGGGCGGATTCTGTTGTTTTTGACATTCCGACCTCTGTCAGAATCCAGCTAAATCTCTTCGCAGGTCAGCTCTATATCTCCTCTTTCGACGAGTATCGTGAGATATGCGAGTTTCTTGGAGTCGCATACTACGCTGCACCGGAAGGTCTGACCGTGGCCGCGGACGGGTTTATAGTTGCACCTGACAGGGCAATGTTCTCAAAAAGCCCGCTTAAGTTCTTGAAGGTCCTCATGTCACAAATTAGAAAGGATGGGCAGGAAATTGATAAAACGCACATTGGGAAACTGTTGGATGGGAAGTTGTTGACCATGGATGATTTTGAAGATGTGGATAATTAGAAGAGGTCTCAAATGTTGGATCACACTGTCGTGTCTCCGCCATATATTTTATGATAGCTTTGAGTACTCCGGTTCTTTGTCTAATTCATATGTTCTACAATATATTGCTGGACCATGGATGGCCATCTCCTCTCACCGGCCTTCCATTAAAGGAGGAGTATCTAGCACTGCTCAATATGGCAGCAGGGCTGAATACAGTGCTCCCTCCACCTTCTTTACCATCTGTGTCCCAATCCTGCTGTACTTCTTCACCGCCACACAAATTAAGGAAAACAGGGATTCCTGGCATTCTTGAAATATGCCTTCATTGCGAAAAATTCCTGGTGCTTCTGCACTATATCTATGGTTAGTGGCCGGGATTGTCGCCCTGTCAGAGGACTATGCCACAGCGTGGGGCGTATTCACAACTATCTGATGGGGTTTAGTGATGGTTCCAGTTCAAGCTTTGGAAGCTACTTCCTTAACTTTTATTAGTCATAGTTGGGGGGAGTTGAAGCATCTGAGTGGCCAGCATTGGTCCTCAACAAACCTCTACGGCAAGTATCTAATCCGGTAATCCCTCTACCTACATGCAGTCAATAGGATGGATGTGGCTCATTCTTTAAAGTGGTGATACGGCCAACAATTCTCTCCGCGGCAATAGCTATTGCTGTCGAGATCCCTCTATATATGTTCTTGTCAATATTCGGCTGTGAGCTGTTCGCCTTTTTCTCTCCTGATTAGAAGCTATTTCCAAGGGACCAAGATTGCGGCACATATGTGGCAAACAATAAACTGGTATGTCCGGCAACACTCCTTTTTAATCACATCGGTCTGAATGATGTTAAGGTGTTATATACTCTACGCTGTGTCAACCCAATGCACTTGTTTATGGATGCTTTAATGCAGATATATGGCCTGCAAAATATATGTGCTAGATAAGCTGCCCATTACACCTTTCCGGAACCTCGCCAGCGCTACCATCTATCAATGTGCGGTTGCGCACTGACAATGGCCAACAATCGACTCAACGAAATCGCAGACGGGCTTTCGGGGAAATAATCCATTGCTTTCGGCTCTCCAGGCTCAGCCACTTCTTCACAAAGGCAGCATCCCTCACTTGGCTTCCCTGAATGCGCGAGCTGATGTTCGATATGGAGATTGCTCCAACTATCCAGCCATTCACCGTGGTCCTTCTTAAGCCGTTCATAGCAGTCAATATCGAACGCCCGTCCCTCATATCGAAACCAGTCCTGGATGGCTTTGGTGGAAGACTCAATTGAGACTTTGCTCCCAGGCGGGGCAGCTATCCAGCCATCCATTTTGAAGCCACCACCGAGCAGGTCGGGTAGATCGGGAACAATACGCTCAAAGCAGCTGATATGGTAGTACTCAACACGTTCTGTGTTATAAACAAGTCAGTATTGCAGGCCCATCTCACATTGAATCAAATATCAATACTTCCGCCATATAGATTAGTTCCGCCCTTCAGAGCAAAACGATAGTAGGAACTAGGAACGAATGATCGGCTCTCCAGTTCGTCTCCTCGGCATGCAGTTCCAAGCCCGGCAGTGACTGACTTTGACTTTAGGGACTTCTTGGAGGTAGAGCACTCGCTCTCCAGATCGCAAGTCATCTGGAATGTATGCTGCCTCTTCATCATCCTTGGTTTTTCTTTTGCGTTTCCTACTGTCGTTGTTTCCGGCGGCGATGTGTTCACTGAGTCCATGGAGGCCTTTCGACTCCATTTGAGGGGCATAGTGCTTGTAATACTGAGCATAGTGTCGCGAAATATCTAGGGCCAAAGGGGCAATGGCGACCTTATGTATTGCAGCCTCGGCTTTCCCAGGAAAAGCGAAAGCGGAAACGACGGATGTGACCCATGCTAGTCCGATCACCGAGTAGTGTACCTGCCTGAGAACTCTCATGCGATGCGGAGGTCCACCACTTCCTCTGCAGAGAATCTCATTGACCATGAAGAAGATTGCCAGGGTCCACTGCGGCATAAGTTTTGCTCTGCTTCCTTCAATCCAATAGTCCGTTCTACTGCAAAGTCTGCGGTCAGGATCGTAGATTGCATTTTCCACAGCAGTCGCCACGCCAAATCTGGCGCGCATTTCATAGCGGGGTTCAGGCATGGTCCCGTCAAAGACCTTTCATCCCTATGACTTCGTTCACTCTTTTCTGATGCCGACCCCCCTGAACAACCGTAGGACGGACATGACTCGGGATCTTACATGTATTATTTAGGAATTGAGGAACTAAGCAAGGTGCCGTGCCAAAATTGGTGCGCACCATTTTTGGCGCGTATATTCTGAGAAGATGAAGAATCAATAATGTGGGATCAAGTGTCCATGACACGTAATGGGGATATAGCACAAGGAATGAGTATCGTACCTAGCTGGCCAAGCGGTCTCACTCATCGTGCACCTATAAGTCAGCTGATATTCTAGCTGACTACATAATAGCATTGGGCTGAATCTTCAAGAGACCATTGCAGGCGTGCGGACTGGGATATTCAAGGCTATTAGTTAAAGGCACTTGGCGTTTCAGCCCCTAAACAAGGCAGCCGCAGCGAACATAGTATAAAGTCTATGCATCATAAATGCTCCTAGATACCTCCATGTCAATGCATCCTACTTTCGCCAGCGCATGAGGGTATACCGTAAATTGCCCCAGTACTGCAGTAAAGTGAAAAGTGGCTCAAACAGAACTCTACCCATGGACTGTTGATTCATTTTCCATCCAGCTGTCAAAAATAAGAAGACATAAATATAAGAAGACGTCTTCCCTTACTCTACTCAAGAGCCCTCTTCATCTTTGTGGCCTCAGCTCTAAAAATGAATACTCATTCACTGATTATCCTCCTATTATATGCGCTGGTGACCCAAACCATTTCATTTGATATGGGTTACACCCCGGATCCCTATGCAGTTAATGGGATGATTGCTTGGACCGAACCAAACTGCCAGGGTATTGCAGCTTCAACCATATTTAATGGCAGCACTCTTGCTAAAAACATATCAAATGTGTGTCTGGCTCGCAGTTTCCAACTTTTACGACCTCTTCAAAACCAAGAGCAGCTGGATATCTCGATTACTCAGGAGCCTAGCTTATGGTACCCCTATGAAGGCGGAGTGAACAGTTTATCATGCACATCCTTCATTCAAAGTTACTTTCCGGTAAATGGGAGTGACAGCTGCCACAACACACCTCCCTTTACTTGCCATCGAATGTGGATAAACTATGGGCTAGATCCAGCATTAAGAGGGTCGAATCTGTCTATAAGTGGGGCGTTTCTTTTAACCCTGCCAACTATCATACCTTCTTCCTGCTTCCTGCCCAGCTCAACGTCCATTTCAGCCTCTTCAACAACTTCCTCGCCATCATTATCATCATCAGCGAGCGCCATGACAGGGACCCCGGCCGTTGAACTTAGTCCGTTATCGAGCACAACATCGCAGCGAACTTCCTGGCAACAAAAACCACTGCCTTCTTCGGAAGTTGCTAAGACTACTTTTCACCCTACAAGCAGCGTCATAGGAACACCAACCAGAACATCTGCCAGTTCTGCGATGTATATTTCATTATATGCATCAGCTTCCACTCATGTAACTACAGGAGCACTATCATCACGCACAGTCGCTACATCCAGCAGGAGCTTCACTCAGATGGTCCGCGTGGAGCCTGGTAATCCCACAAAGTTTATCCCTCAAACACTTGACGTCTCCATCGGCGACACTGTCTGGTTCTATTCTTTGAATGGGTCGTTCTTACTGTACAACACAACTCTCGAATTGCCGTGTAGCCGTCTCGAGAGATACGGAGACGATGTCTATAAACATGTGATTTTCCGGGTCAATTCTACAGAGCCACTATGGTTTATTGGCATTCAGAATCGTGACGAATACACTTGCTGCTCGCCAGCTCACTTTGCTCTGAACCCTGGGACTCAAAAGGACCATTTTTTTGATTTGATTGGTCATATTTGCATAAACATCACCCACGCTGCTGCTCCTCCTCAGAGAACAACAACTCAAACCATTGTGGTCTACCAGACCGGAGGTGTCATTACTACCTTGACCAGCTGAGTGCTACCCTGGGGTTTAATTGGATATTGAACTAGCCAAGTACGGCTTCATGTGAAGATCTTGTTTGCTAAGGTGAGGACAATTGTTTGATCCTACCGACGTCGGGCAATGTTAGTGGAAAACTGTGCTGAGATCAATGTCCTAGTGGCGTCAATGTTCTGAACTGTTTTCTTTGAACTGCTATTTTAGAAGTATCATTTCAGATCATCAAGCATATCAGATCCACACTGTCAATAGAAGGAATAAATGCTCAGACGGGTGACAAAGAAATGGGTCAAATAATATGTGTTTTTTCTTAGCCCACGTTAACCTAAGAGGCTAAGACGCGATGTTTGTCAAAAATATAACCTCCAGCTGTGAGTCAAGTCCTACTTGCATGATGCGGTAATAGTAGGTGAAGCATACTTAGTGACGCTTTTAATCATGGTCTGTCTACTAGCCGGTGGGGAACCTTTCGCTCATAAGACGATCATTAGACCGGAACTCTACTTCTTGAGTCTGCCCCGGGCTTAAAAGACGTCAATTGGAGATACGAGTCCAAAACAAATATCATGTTGTCTGAGACTCTTGGGCTTGTAGCTAGGGTAGTGCTCGAAAGAGGAGACGACCAAGAAGCCGCGCCAGAAATGGCGCGGAAGCCTCCTGTTGCTTTGTATTCCGTAGATTACCCATAGTTGATAGTTTAGTGGAATAGTGGCACATCGAATTGTTTCAATCTGGAGCTTCAATCACCCTCCCGCCACTAGCCCTAGCCCCAGCCCTTCTAAATGGATCTCAAGAGCAAATACACTGATTACTATGCATGGTCTTCAAGCTGCTCTTTCTGTGTGCTAGAGACCATGGGGCTTTGCGACCCACTGCTCCCTGCACTATTTCAAAATCGGCGCGGCAGTTAGTGGTTTTTCAACAATATATAAAGACCATCAATCCAGATTCAAGAGAGAAAAGTACCAATGTGACTGGATCAGGTTTAAGTGACCTAACATAGTTGGATTCTCACTGCAAAGATCATCATGGGGAGATTCTTAAAAGTCTGGATGCGTGAGTAGCCCTTCTATGTTTATACAGGAGTTGCACTAATGAGCATAGCCTGGCACCATGGGGCTAAATCAAAAAGCCGTGAGAAGCGAATTACTCAGAATGATCGTCCCAAAAAAATCCCTGCTAGAGGAACCAGACAAAAGTGCTCCCAGAACTTTCAACTTGATCTCCCCCCTGGAACCCTGCAGTCAGACATAGACCAGAAGATTTTCAATCCAGATGGGACACTGAGGCCTGGATGGAGAGTAGCAATTGACGGGGTTGAGACCAGACGTGGCTACGAGTATGTCTATATCCATATAAAGACAGGAGGGTTGTACGAGGATGTTGATTTGATTCGGCGTCGAGGATATTGGAAGGATATAACTGAGGACATGAGACAGGAGGAATTGGCTAGCAAAATTGCGCCATGGGTGGGATCTGGAGGTGGGTTTCCATGGTGAACATGTGCGTACTACATACCTTGTTTTGTATTTAATGTTCGACATATTTGTGGTCTTTTCTCGGTTCAAATAAAGTTTAGCTTAACGACTACTCTGTTACATCGTGAATAGGATTCTGCTAGCTAGTCTCCTTAGCTCCTTCTGTTGTGATCAAGGGGAAGATTTTTGCCTCTTAAAGAGCATTTTCGTGCAAGCTGAATCCAATGGAACTGCCTTGAGGATAGATTTTCGCCTGCTACATCCGCTTTAGTTTAGAGCCAGTGAAAGTTTGAATTCGGTAAGATATTAAGGTACGTTGTGACTATAACCTCATTGGAGCTTGACTGACTGGTAGTTCCATATATGTTGTAAGCTGGCGAGGCGTCGTTAAACTACGCCCTTTTTACCTGTTTCGCTATAAAGTTGAGGAGCTAACGTCTTTATAAACATTGTGACCAAGTCGATCTCTTCCAGCGACTTTGTTAGCCACCCACACGTTTTGCTATCTGAACAATCATTTACAATACTGTCTATTTTTCTTTCCTAGCTACTGTCCATTAATGCGGTTGACTAGGTTCCAGCCAACGCCTATCATTTGGCAATCTTGTTGTGGATTTCACTATTGAATTATGTGAGCTTCGGAGTTCTCCCGTCGAGAGCGGTCCCCTAGTGATGTCCATAAAGAACACAGCGAGGACCACGCTTCGCAAGGCGCAACGCAAAGATAACCTTGCCTCCTGGATTTCGCAGATGTTTTGACCCCGTGCCTTGATCCGTTGGAGTCTCTGAGAACGGAATGTTTATTGTGGTATGTCGATCGTCCTTACATGACGAAGATCCAACTATGTTCAATAAACAATCAAGACGCGTGTAGCCTAGTTCATCGTCTGATCTAATCCAAGACTATAAAGCTTGACGTCTCCTTGAAAGTGTTCACCTTAGGCACTGAAGCAGCGTATCATCCCATCAGTGTTAACTTTCGAAATCGAGCAAGATCGACCATGGTGGGAAAGAGAATCAAACTCAGAAAAAGCTCAATGCTACCAGTTGATAGTTTCGACAGCGACAATCGCGTCAGAGTTCTTGGTGTCATTGACAAGCTTCGTGAACTAGGTGTCAGTGAAAATGTGTCGCTTCCGCAGGTGAGAAAGTATACCTCTTTTTTCATTTCCTTGCTAATTGCAATAAAGCTCGTTGTCGTCGGCGATCAGTCAAGCGGAAAATCTTCGCTACTCAAAGCACTGACTGGGCTGTCCTTCTCAATAGCCAGCGATCTCTGCACCCGGTTTGCAACTTAGATTGTACTTCGTTAAGCGAGCTCTGAGGATGCAGAAGTCAAGATCACTATCATCCCAGGACCCACGGCTTAGATGAATGATGAGGTGAAAGAGTGTCTTCTGAACTTTGAAAGGAGGCTTCCTGTGGACGTTCGGCCCGACGGAGTTCACCCACATTTTTGATGAGGTAGGCCATCTTGACCTTGGCATTTGATAAACTACTAATTGTCCAGGCTGCCTAATGCATGGGTGTACCCGGTCCTAACACAGAGAGCTTGGAAAATCTCGAGAAGCGTTTTTCGGACGATATACTCAGGATTGAACTTTCGGGCCCGAAACAGCGGCATCTCAGCGTGGTCGATGTGCCCGGTCTGTTTCATAGTAAGGACGACAACTTAGGTAGCTTTGCGGGGATTTTTACTGACGATGTTAGATCCCACAAAGTACCAGACGGCCGAGGACCGTGTCATCATTCGAAATCTGATCGAGAGTTATATAATTGACAAACGAACAATCATTCTGTAAGAGAGATCCCAAGTCTCTCGCCCACTGCAAAGTGAACTGACCCAGAAATTAGCGCAGTGATGGACGCGAGAAACAACCTTGCAAATCAAGAGGTGTAAGTTTGGCCAAATATAGGGGGCTATGGGCCGTCCGTTCTTGAGAGAATCGGGAAGCGCCAAGTGTCCAATTAGGATGGCTCAGGGGCCAACTATATATAGGCTGACTAAGTCGGGACGCTAAACCTAAACGGGATGGAATCCTGACACCCCCCCTCGGACCGACT